AATTTGAACTTTTAAAGTACAATCAAATAATAACAAAAAAAATTAACAAGTGCTGAGTTTAATATATTAATACCCACATTAAAACCATTACAAAATGTAACATACGAAATTCCAAAAGTACATACACCATATTGTGTAAAATGTGTACAAAACATTTGCAATCTATAATTAACTAAATGTCTATTTACGCTAGTCTTGAGAGCTCCTGGAGGAAAAATCTGGTTGCGAAAGATTGAGCTTGTACACTTTCATCTTCATAGAACTCGGACATTCCACTTTCACCTTTAGATTGAGCTTGTTTCATTTGCTTGTAGTTGAATGTGCTCATACAAGCCCAGAAGCCTTCTGCCAAAAGTCATGAAAAATCTCCACAAAGACAAGAAACTTCATGACTCATCTAGAAACAAAATTGAAAATGCAAAACAAATTAAATAAAACAGCAAAACAAATTAAATAAAACAGCAAAACAAAAAATTGTCAAAAAAGAGTTTTAGGCAGTCAATAATTCTGATTTTGGCACCGAGAAATAAAGCAAAAATTGTTGAAGAAATATTACTCACCATTTGAGGTATATTCTTTTGTTATTTACTCTGGGCAGCTTGGTATCATTTGACTTGAAGTCTTGAACTCCATTTTTATTTCTTTGTTTGCAATTCAATAGCACCTATTAACAAGTTACAACAACAATGGGTTAGAAAAAAGCCAGAATAATTCATTTCTATGAATCAAACAAGTTAGCCGAATCTGTCAAGCACAAAAACAAATAGATAAGTACAGAGCCTTAGTCCCGTGAAAATCAATGCTTTTATTCACATATCCTTCTTCGTAAAGAAAGTCTAACACAGAACACATACAGCTTGCCGATTAAAAGAACAGGCAAATACACTACCCAAAGAGACGAAAGATAGAGAAATGGCTACTGAGGAAGGCAATGGTTGAGGCTGGCCGTTGATGGGCTCCCAATTGGTAGCCGGACCAAAGAAATTGCCCGCGCGGCGATGTGTTTTTGGGTGTGCGGCGATCTGGTTGCTAGGGCTTATGAGAGGCATGCGTTTCACTTATATACGGATTGGGATGAGCGCTCTTTATTTCAGCGGGTTTCATTTTTTAAGTGGAGGGAGTTCCAAATTTTTGAGCGGATTTCATTTGGAAAGTGGAGGGAGTTCTAAATTTTTGAGGAAAAAGGGGGAGGATAGGATTTAGTGAGATAATTTGGGTCAATTAAATTCATTTTTTCGGCTTACTGTTTTTAATTTTTGGTGGCTTATGAAATTTTATCTGGATACTTTTGAGACTAGATCTAGAAAGCTCATATTATGTATTAGATTAAACCAGATCAAATTTAAATAGATCAGATCAGACCAAATTTTCATAATTATAAAATACACAAAGAGTAGACGTTTATTAGACCAGATCAGTTTATATATGAACCGGCTCTATCTACTACAATTAGTGAAATTCTACTTGGAACGGTCGAATAGGCTGAATCTGATTAAGGATGTTTTTACTTGGATTGAAATTGAGAGAATTCCCCAAATAGGAGTAAAAACGTTTTGAAATTCCCAAATAGGAATATCATGTTTTTTATTCCCTGAATATGAGTAATTTTTTTCCAAATTTGAGCATTACGCGGCTTTGAACATGACATTTTTTCCAAACTTGGCATTTTACTCCTATTCAGGGAATAAAAAACATGATATTCCTGTTGATGTTTATTCCTTCAACATTCGGGTCCAACACGTAAGCCCAAAGATTTCGAGTTGAGCGGTGTATGTGTGTATGAATAAGCTAGGCCAACAAACAACAAGATAAATCAAGAAACATTAAGTAGCAAGTAAGAGTTTAGATATTATTAATCAGTTAATAACTCCCCGATACAATACACTTGATAAGTGCCCGTTGGCCGTACGTCTTATTAGGCAGTAGAAGAGCTGCGAGTAAGGGAATATGAGCTAGAATGCTAAGAGCACTTCTCACATGCATATATATAAATATGCATACACACACATTATATTTAAACGAATAGAGATCAAATACAAAGCCTTCTTAATTTACAAAGTATAAACTCATCTTGACCGTCCGATGAGTTGATCCAAAGGACATAAAGGCAAGGTGGTGTTTTTGTAATAAACCCAACTTTTTAGGGTGCAACTCGTTGCACCTTAATGTGCAACTATTATTTTTGTGAATTTATAATGTGTAACACTTTGAACCTCAATATGCAATGCAAAATAACGTTAAGGTGTATCGTACAAATATTTGCACAATAAGCACACTTTGTACTTGATCTTTCCCCATATTTAAACTTAGATTAAGTAATTAGTTATTGAAAAAAGCATGCTAGATGAAGACTTTGCATTCTTCTATTTAGTGACAGATTTTTGTTGCGGAAAATGGCCGCCGGCAATTGGTGGCGACCAATCCGTCATAAATATCCGTCACTAAACAGCGGCGAACTGTATCCGTCACTAACATCTGTCACTAATCAGTGACGGACACACTATTTCCGCCACTAAATAGTGACGGATTCAAATTCCGTCACTAAATTCCGCCACTAAATTATGAATTTCTTGTAGTGTACAAAAAATAGAAAGCAAAGTCTGCCGATTCTAACTTTATCATCTCTATATAAAAAAGGCGATACATGTGATAAAAAATATTACCCTGTTTTGCGTTAAACATAATATTCCTTGCATTCTTTTCATTTTAAGGCAAACAATTTATAAACTAAATATGTAGAAAAAAGGATGCATGGTTTACTCCAGTAGCATAAAGATCATATTTTTAATGTCGTGTATAGTTCCATAGAACGCCAAAAAACATAAACAAAATGATATTACACAAAATCATCTACTTTTATTTACGTCAATTGATCTCATAGCATTTCAGGTAAAAAAAACAAACATTTAAACTACTGGAGTAAGTAGTATTATTTTAAGTGATCGATTCTCCATAGGATCGGATCTGAATACTAACAAACAACTAATGTGTAAATATACTTATCTTGGGGCAACATCACCGGTGTTTTACCGTAGCAGTGGTTAATATCGCATAGAAAATATTTCGTATATATTCATCGTATGACGTTTGTCCGGTTTCGAAATTTGAGGATTGACTACTAGGGTGCTTCTTTTTCAACTCCGACTGGAATGGACAATAAGATGCATACATGGAGCTTCGGTAAATACCGTGAAGGCTCCAGATGGCGTCAGCAGGTTCCGGTGTAATATTGAATATTGAGGCCCCTTATAAATATAAGAAAAAAAAATCTAAATCTAAATACTGATACTCAAATTAATTAAATTCGCAATAAATAATGTCATATTTACTTAATACTTGATTTAAAGATAGGCAACTCATTATTCAAGTAATTTGAATAGATGATAACTAAAAGGGCCAATAGAAAAATGATAAATTTATATTTTTCTTCCTTACAAACTGTATTTTAATATAAAATATTACTATATAATATTAATAAATTTTTGAAAATCTAGGGCCCATAAATTAGGGGGCCCTGTTCTGAATAACCTAATTAACACCCTAAAAAACGGCCATGTTTTCTAGGCTGATAAACTCATAAACAACACAAAAAATGAGTACAACAGTGTTATTTAAAAAAAAAAAATAACAAAAGTCGAATATTGTTTTTATTCAGAGAATCGCCTTGCAATTATTTACAAAATTCAACATTTGCATTTCTTTTCTTCCTTTTGATTTACGTAGTATATAAAGATACGAAGACAATGATTTTTCCAAGTTCAATTTATTATGGTTTATAATGTTAATTCACGATAATTTAATATGTGTAATGTGCCAAATGAAATTATGCTAATTATCAAAAATAACTTTTCCCGTGCATCGCACGGGTACTATACTAGTTTTAGGTAACAACAACACACTTTGTAAGGATATTAATTATATATAGTGCCAAAACAGTGGACCTCAATAAATTAAACATCAACAATACTCAAAGTGTTACGTAGTACGAAACATTTCGAGCTATATATATGTGGAGAGTTATTCAACCTTAGCTTTGTTTCGGAAATTCTTCACCTAAAGTATGATTGATATTGTTTTTCACGTAGTATTAAATACTCCGTATGATTTATTTTCTGAAAGCTTTGCCTATTTTATTCTTTTAACATGACTAGCAGATAAGCTCTAAATTGAAAGTAAAAGAAATTTAGTCCCATTTTTCACATTATTATACATTTTTATGGGAACATTTTCTAATTTGAATGGCTTTCATTGTTCCAGAATTAAAGGGTAGTCGTAGACATAGACAAATATTAAAGAGGTAGTTGTAGACATAGACAAATATTAAGTTGAGACTGGTACAGACAATTAAAGACGCCGAAGCGATAAATACCGATACACAAACCCTACTTACAACAAAGCACCAGTGGTCTAGTGGTAGAATAGTACCCTGCCACGGTACAGACCCGGGTTCGATTCCCGGCTGGTGCATACTTTTTAAAATTTCTGCCTTTCCATTTTCTTGCCTTTCCAGAAGTCCAGACATAGAAACCATTAATCAAAATGCCCAACCAAACATATATACTGAACCAAAAACCCTCATGAAATGGGACCCGTTGGGTCATTTTGGTCCTCGAACTTGCAAAAAAGGAGTCAAATAAGTCCTTATACAGAAAATTCTGTCCGGACGTGCCATTTGAGGTGGCTCCCGGTGGAATTTTTTGATGAAATTTTTTGAACATCTTATTCATTAGGTCTAGTTTACTCTTACCAAATTTCAGATAAAAATTCAATCGGGAAGACATTCAAATGAATTCTTGAAGATAACTGTGCCATTAAAAGCGCTGTTATCTTCAAGAATTCATTTGAATGTCTTTCTGATTGAATTTTTAGTTGAAATTTGGTATGAGTAAACTAGACTTAATAAATAAGATGCTAAAAAATATTTATCACAAAATTCCACCGGGAGCCACCTCAAAAGGCACGTCCGGACAGAATCTTCTATATAAGGACTTATTTGGCGCCTTTTTTGCAACTTCGAGGACTAAACTGACCCTTTACTCTTACTAATAATGTTTTAAAGCTTTTCAAGAGCAAAACAATTGAGCTTTTTAGTGCATATTAAAAGTGAGAGTTCACACATTTTCCATTTCCAGTTTGATGTCACTAATAATTAGAACTTATCTACACTTATTCCATCTCTGCTAACTTCATAAGCATCCCTATTTCTTGATTTCTTCATACCAACTGAGAAAAGAACTTTAGAGGAATTCTCAGAAGAGATTGCAGAGACTTTAACCCAAATCACAAACTTTGTTTTGATTCCTTCAATGTCAGATAGCTTCCCTTTCTCAAGACGCCCATTCACTGTTGTATTGAATCTCAAAACGGAGGAGTCTTTGTAGCACAGTTCACATACAGAGGGTATATACACAGTCAGCTTTCCTGTCTCTTCGTTTAGCTCATAGTTCGTAGCATCCCGAGGAAATATGCCGATCGGTAAATCATACTCTTTAAGCAGCTCTGGTAATGGCTTTTGAACTTTTCCTGTAAATTCAACTCAACTTTACCCATTCACTCATTAGTGCAGTACTAGATACAAAAAATGAAATCTTTATAAGACTTAACCCAATTGTGTAGGAGGCATGTAGATATAGGCAAAATGTATATAAATGAATCTTTAGGACCCTCAAGGGCAAGGCAAATGTAGGCATATTAAGCGGGGAAGAAAGATTGGATAGTATGAACACACCTTTGATTTTGTTAACCAACCATTTGGCTCCCCCTTCTATACTGCTTGACATGGACTAATCAGCGTATGCAGAACAGTCAGAATACAAAATGTCATAGAAAATACTTCTTTCATTTTCATTAGAATGATATTTATGTAAATTATTGCTAAATGTGTGGGTTTTGGATCAAATAAAAACAACTCTGAACGTGAAAACTGCAAACCGTTCACTTTTTACCCAATGTGATGCTCTTTAAAGATGATCTGTTGCACTTTTTTAACATTGGCCGAATCATGCATGTCAAATAAAAAAAACGAAGTGGCATTTTCGTAAATAAGTCAAAGTTTTTCTGTCGATATGAAAAAGTGCAATAGAGGAACACACTAGGGGGAAAAAGAACGATTGCAGTTTTCACGGGACTAATGATTTTTATTTGATTTGCACCCTATTTGTGTAGACGTGTAGTTCTACTCGCATACAGGGGCGGAGCCAAGGGAGGGTCAGGGGAGTCAGTCGACCCCGCTGAAAGTTTGAGAGCATAGAGCTCTGAAATATCTTCGATTTGATATATTATGGCCCCCGTAACTCATTACGAGTAAAAAGTTATGACTTCTGCAAAATCAGCACTATCTAAACGTAAAATCAGCAAAATGTGATGAGTAATATTGATTTTTTCCCCCAAAATTTTAAAAATAGCGTATAATTATTTCATTACTCACGTGACATGACTCAAAAATAGAGCAAAAACAGTCTCTTTTATTGTTACGAGTGCCTATTTATCTAAACTACATATAAAATATTCAACTCGGACATTGTTTGGAAATGATCCACCGTTTTCATTTTGTATAAAGTTGATTCTCGACCCCCCTGGACCGTATTTCTGGCTCCGCCACTGCTCGCATATAAGTATTTATATTATTGATGGTGTAATTAGTCGTGTACAAGGGGTCGTGATTGTGTGAAACGTGACAATATAAAAACTACGAACGTGTTTATGAAGTTTACTGCAATTTGCAAGACACATATGTTGATCAATGTGACCATTGACATTTTATGAAATCCGAATGAGACATCTTGGAACTTTTTAAAATAGAAGGGATGCACCATGTCCCAAGGTTTGTTTAGAATGGACTTGAAAGTTAATTTGGTAATTAAGAAGCTGTTCTCTTCGCCTGATCTGAATGTTTCTGATCTGAATTTTTTAAGTTCTGATCTGATCTGATCTGAATTTTTCTGATCTGATCTGATCTGATCTGAATCTTTCTGATCTGATCTGATCTGAATCTTTCTGATCTGATCTGATCTGAATCTTTCTGATCTGATCTGATCTGATCTGAATCTTCCTGATCTGATCTGAATGTTTCTGATCTGGTCTGATCTGATCTGAATGTTTCTGATCTGATCTGAATCCTTCTGATCTGATCTGAATCTTTCTGATCTGATCTGATTTGAATATTTCTATGATTATAATTATAATTATAATTATTATAATTGCAATTACAAATATAACTTAAATAAAATTATAATTATAATCGTAACTATAAAAATAATAATAATAATTAAAATTAAATTTAAAATGAAAAAATTTATACATATTACACTAATTATAAATATAGATATAATTATAATTGTAAATATATTTTTAATTATAATTACTTATATAATTATAATTGTAATTATAATTACAATATTTATCTCTATAATTGTAACTATAGTTATCAATATTATTATAATAACTCCGTAAAATAATTACAATAGTAACAATAATAATATTAATAATAATAATAATAATATTAATAATTATTATAAAAATAATAATTATAATCATAAATTATAACTATAATATAATTATAAGTCTATTTATAATTAATAATAATTATAATTATATTAACATTAATTATAATATTATAATATAATAATAGTAATATAAATACAATTAATATTATTATAACGATATTATTATATTAATATTATTATTACAATAACATAATAATAATAATAATAAGAATAATAATATAATTAGTATTATATTATTATAATATTATATTATAATTATAATTATAATCATAATTATAATTATGATTGTAATTATAATTATTATAATTATAATTAATTACAATTATAATTATAATTAATTATAGATATAATTATAATAATTACAATTGATATACTTATAATTATAAGAATTATAATTGTAAGTATAATTATAATTACATATAATTATAATATAATATTATAATAATATTAATCATATTATTATTATATTGTAATAATAATAATAGTCTTCTTAATAATTGCATTTATATTACTATTATTATATTAAAATATTATAACTATATTAATATCTTATTTTTTTATCATATTATTATTAATATTATTAATAATAATTATATAATAATAATCATAATAGTAAAAAAAATATTAATAATAATAATAATTAATATAATAATAAAAGTGATAAATCATGTTTGAACTTTTCTGATCTGATCTGATCTGAATGTTTCTGATCTGATCTGAATGTTTCTGATCTGGTCTGATCTGATCTGAATCTTTCTGATCTGATCTGAATCTTTCTGATCTGATCTGATCTGAACTGAATCTTTCTGATCTGATCTGATCTGATCTGAATTTTTCTGATCTGATCTGATCTGATCTGAATTTTTCTGATCTGATCTGATCTGATCTGAATAAAATAAGAATAAGTAATAAGTAATAAGAATAAGACGAACAGAACAGCACCTAAGTAGAGATACAATTCACATCTAATTGATAAAAGGCGCATGTGTTTGAACCAGGTATGAGTGAAGGGAATCATATATATGTACAATTTGTAGGGAAAACTGTCAAATAGGTCCTCAAACTTTCATAAAAAAATCAATTAAGTCCTTCTATAGGAGACGATGTCCGGTCGTCGCGATTTGGGGCGGTTCCCGGTGGAATTTTTTGATGAAATTTTTTGAGCATCTTATTCATCAAGTCTAGTTTACTCATACCAAATTTCAGCTAAAAATTTAATCGGGAGCGCATTCAAATTAATTCGAGAACGCAAAAATGCGCTGTTATCTTCAAGAATTAATTTGAATGTGTTCCCGATTTAATTTTTACCTGAAATTCGGCATGAGTAAACTAGACTTGGTGAATAAGATGCTCAAAAAATTTCATCAAAAAGTTCCACCGGGAACTGCCCCAAATCGCGACGGCCGGACAGAACCTCCTATAGAAGGACTTAATTGACTTTTTTATGAAAGTTCGAGGACCTATTTGACAGTTTTTCCCAATTTGTAATATAAGAATGAATTCAAGGTTTAATTCATTCTCTAAACATAATACACTTAACAATGAATATTACTAAAAAGAACTTGTTAATAATGGTCACGCCCCAAGCAGGGCTATCTAATACGGAGTAATAGTGGCCCTGTTTAAGAGTTAGTTTGAGGCCATATATTATAAATAAATGTAGATGAAAAAATTACACAGTTTAGTAAAATTTAAAAATATCAATAAGCTTTACATCATGATACATGGAATTTAGACATCTTAACAATGAGGTTTTCGAAATACTCATCATTTTACTTTCAGAAAGTGCAAAAATGGGACCAAATGTGTTTTATTCTCCATATAGAACTTATTTAGTCCTACTGAAAGAATAAGTTGATTAAAACTTCTTAAAATAAGAGTGAATGAGTCCTATTTATTTTAGGAATAAAACAATAATAATAGTATTTGTGAACTTTATCGTTATTTTAGTCCTATTTTGGAATTTTTTTCTTATACTTTACATCATAGTATTCCGATCATACTAGTATAAACTAATAAGGTTTAACAATTTTGGGGTTCTAATAATATTTGGTGCATATATGGATCATGTTACATAGAACTGATTTAACAAGTTATTCACCGTTCTGGCTTGAGGACTCCAAAACCCACTTTAATGGGACGAATGAGATGACATTCTTATAGCCAATTCAAATTTGAGATTATATCTGGAAACATAACCAAAGTCATGGTTTGAAATTGCACCACTCGAGAATTTGCCCAAATTACATACGAAGTTTAATAAGGAAATTTCCATCCCTACACGTTTATTTGTACACCTTTTATGCATTCTCATTGTATTTTGATTGTATACACAAGTAACTCGTCTTTTGGGAATTATTTGTGTATATATACAAGATGAAAGGTATACAAAAAGGTGTATACCAAAAATAACTCAGCAAAATTCACGAATGGGAGTGTAAAGGAGAAGACACTACAAAAAGAACTCGAATTGACAGAGATTTTTGACAGAGTTTTTCCAAAATTGGCAAGGATTTTGGCACGAATATGTCAAATTCATGCCAGAAACAATTTGGCACGAGCTAGTTGGCACGAATTTTTTGGGAAACTCGTACCAAATCTGTGTCAATCCTGTAATTTCTTTTGTAGTGAGAGACGGGGTAACGTACATTGATGTCATCACCGACGGAACTGAGCTCCTTCGTGGCTTTCTGGCCAACCCAATAAGAACCCATTTTCCCCAATATCTGATCCATCCCTATCCTCGATCTCCGACGATCAGAATTTGATTTGGATTTAATTTGAGACGGAGAAGGAGAGAAACGTTGTGATCGATTGTTTCTTAGCTGATTTCTTTATTTGAAGCTAACTTAGCAATATAATGCAAATGTTCCTTCCAATCAATATGCATTCATTCTCATCAACTATTACGCGGTGTTTTTAACGATGCGGACCAGCGGATCGGACCTATGTATTGGATACCAAAACGGAAACATTTTCCTTCCATTTTACTACTCATTTGCATTATCAATTTATTGTAATAATAACTTTATAAAAATCTTGCAAAAAAAACTTTATAATAAAGTTATACATAGTTCCTTACTTTTTTTGCAATTTTGTCATCGTCAAAGGTTTAATTTGTCATGGTCATTCAAGACGAAATTGTCACTTGTCACTATCCGTCCTAAATTGATTTGCAAATTTGTCTTTTCTTGGTTAATATAATGTCATGATTATTTAAATATAAAAGTTAAACATAACCTATACATAATCATTGTAGTTACTAGTATAATCACTACATTTAAGAGGTAACATTTTCTATTCGCATCTTATACAATCATTTTATGTCTAAATAGATAATGTGAACAATTGAGTTCAAACACTTTACCTAATATATAGCCGATCAATCGATCATCATAACATCTAATAGACTTAGTGTATCACTCCGAAGTCCAAACGTACTCTACTATTTTGTTTCAAAGATTGTTTAAATTAATAATAAGAAAGGCTACATATATGCAGAGTAGCTATATAGCTAATACTACTCCGCATTAATTACATCATTATCATCCTATGTGGGGTTTTGGTTAAACTAAATATAGAAACTAATTTTCAAAGAGAAAGATTGACATCAACAACACACTCAACGGACGACGATAACCCGGCGCCTGGTTTGGCTTTGGGAGAGTGTGAAGCCCCTCCTCCACATTTGTAGCCATCAGCCATAGAAGAAGCCCTACCATCATTTTGCATGGACACATGACGCTGTATGTTCATTCCACGGTCAACAAGTCAACCACCATTTCTAACAATTTAGGATGTTTTCTTTTGGATTGAAATTTGCTGGTCTAGTCTGGTCTGATCTGGTCTGGTCTATGATCTGAACTGGTCTGGTCTGGTCTTGGACTGAAAACAGTCCAAAAGAAAACATCCTTAGTGACATCAATGTCCAAAACATAGTCAAAATTCAAAAATAAATTCAAAAATAGGGTTAAGTATGTTTAGTTTTATTTCCCAAAAAATATGATTTATTTAGTCCTATTTATAGACTTATTTGATTAAAATTTATCAAAATAGAAGTAAATGATTCATACTTTGAGAATAAAATCCTACTTAATATGTAAAAGTTTAATTTTCTACTTTATTTATATGACTCATCCTTTTCATCGATTCTCAACATAAGACTAAATAACTCCTACTTTAGTCATCAAACAGAAGTACAGAACATACACCTAATCACACCCTCAGAGAAAAACACAATTAATCATATTTGGAGACTTGTCCGTGCATGTTTCAGTTTACTAATGAGAAATTTCTGATCGATGCAATTATAAATAAACTCCAATCCTCCATATCCGAAAATTGACGTTCACTGAATTTCGAAGTCAAATTTAGTTGATGTTTTACCAAGATAAGTACAAATTAAATAGATAGAGAAAGCCGGAGGCCACTACATACTAGACAGGGTTCCATCCTAAAAGTACTATACACATGTGACATGTATACAACCTCCAATTCTTCATATCCAAAAGGTGACAATTCCGGTACCTTTCTAAAATATGGGGTACCGTACCTATCATTCATTTGATTGGACCATATCACTTTCTCATTTTTAATTAAAATTTAAATAATTCAACTGTTACATTCTAGTTAGTCCATGTGGACAAAGGTATGGTACCTTATGGGTACCATATAATCCAAAAAAAGGTAGATTCTATGGTACCCAAAAGGTACCATACCTTTGTCTATTTGGACTAATCAGAATATTGCAGTTGAATTATTTAAATCTAAATTAAAAATGATATAATGATTTGGACCAATCATGTGGGTAGGTACGGTATCTTTTTTTAAATGGGTACCGGACTTTTAATGAATTTTGAAGTCAAATTTAGTTGATGTTTGACCAATACGTACCTTAGAGAGGGTGCCATCCGGTTGAACATTCCAGCCGGCTTCTCGGCAAAGAGCAAAGAGGAGATGGTTGGAGTCGGCGTGGCTGGGAAGCTCATAGTTGCCGTAAGCACGAAGGCCCTGGAATATCTTCTTCGCCACCGCCCGCCGCTTCTGCTCCCTTTCCTTGTTCCTCTCCCTCTCCTTCTCCGACGGGTACCGGTATTTCGTCACCGTCGTCCTCCCGCTCTTCGTCTTCTTCTCCACCTTCCACGGCCCCCTCGCCGTCTTTATGCATCCTCTCACCAATGCCTCCACACCGTTCTCCCCGCCACCGCCACCGCCACCGCCCATCATTAATAAACTAAATCTTTCTCTCGGATTCGTTCGCTAGCTAAAGATACATACATCCCATATATATAAATAAGAGAAACAGCTTAGGGACAAGAATCACAAGATAGAGATACACATTTTTAATGTGATCGAGAGACAAGAAAAGGACACAACAGATTAAGATCTTCTTGGAGGACGGACTAAGTCGTACGTAACAACGTATGTATAGTACGCACTTATAATTACAGTGAGATTTTGCCTTGTTAGTGGATGTATAGATGGAAGGAGCTCAGGCGGTAAGGAAGTAGTGTGCGGCCATTTTTGGAAACCAACTAAAACGACAACACAAAGGCTAGCAGGGCGCAGGTGGATGAGATCGATATTCGATGCATATATGCAGACGGAATAAAATATTGTCTCAGCCTTTTCATTTGCAGCAATTAAGCAGTAGAGACCAACCTGTATTTGGTGAAGCATATTAGCATACCCACCAATTCATGCAAAGCTGATTGACTATGAGGCCGTTTGGCAACACCGTTTCTCGGCTTATCAACAAACTTTTTCACCAAACACGTAATTTTTCCTTTCGCGCTGAATTGTGTAATAAGCAGAAAAAGTAAGGTTGAAGTTACTTTTCTGGCTGTATTGGCTGAAGTTATGTAGTGACTATTTTAGCTATTTTTACATATAATTTTTTTCTCTATTGTATTAATAAAATACTCCCTCCGGTTTTTATTAAACTTCACTCTTTGACTTCACACAAAATAAGGAAAGAAATTTGACTTTACTATAGAGTACACTATTTAGGCACTGTTTGACACTATTTGACACTGTTTGGCACTGTTAGGCACTGTTTTGATGTAGATTTCTTTGCCAAAGAAGGAAATAAGGAAGTGTGAAGTTTATTTTGGACCGTCCCAAAAAGGAAAATGTGAAGTTTATTAAAAACGGGAGGGAGTATATTTTTAAAATAATTTTTTCTTAAATCAGTATAATAAGCCAACACAGCCTCTTTAGCCAGAACTTCATAAATTTCAGTAGAATCAGTCAAAACAGCCGATTTTGGTGCTACCAAACGGGTTTTATAGATAATAGATACGAGTATAAAAATATATATATACTCCCTCAGTATCTATTTACATTACTCATTTGTTTTTCACGGAGTTTATTAAGACAATTAGCGTAGACTTTATAAAAAGTAAGAGGTACTGTAGCGATACTGTAGCTGTTTTTTGAGTGAGATTCTTTCCAAAAAGGAAAGGATCCAATTAATTTGATACTCCAAAAATGAAAGTGAGACAACTAAATAGATACGGGGGAGTAATAGTGTGGTAATTTTGTCCATTTTTATTTATGCATTTTTTATTCTTTCAGTCAATAATGGTCAACAATTCTTTTAGTGATTTGGCTTGTATACCTTCAATTGTGGCTGGACAACCAGTGTTGGTGTGGATGTTTCCGAGACAACAGATTGGCACGACATATAGATTCCTGCTAAATTATGTGACAAATTCATTAGTGTTACCTTTAGGCGTGCCAACATTCTCGTATCAAATGTTACAAATGTCCCTTCTTGCCAAATTAATTTCTTGACAAAAAGTTCAGTGTCAAGCTAGTTTTGATTTCTGCCTAAGCCGTGCTAGAATCGCTGCCAGTGGTTACCGGTAAAGGTCCAACCCAAAATCAAACTCAAAAGGTATAGCCCTCTCGTTTCATCTCTTCTTTCTTTGACAATATTCTTCACAAACAGGGGAGGAGCTAAAGGGGGTCAGTGTAGTCTGCCGAGCTCTCCAAAAGTTTAAGAGTATAAAACACTGAAATGCTTTTATATATCTTGTGATTCAATACGAGCGAAAAGTTATGTCTCCAGGAAAATCAATATTATTTTAGCTTCAAATGAATAAAGTTTGATTCGTAATATGTACTACGTATTATATTCTCAAATTAATAAATAACTCATAATACGCTCATTACTTACGTGAAACTTGTAATGTATATGACTTATATCAAATCTATAACTCGAATTGTCTTATTTAAACTACTCTCTCCGTTTCTTATAGTTTTGTTATCTTTCTATTTTGGATTGTCCTAAAAACTTTGCTGGTTTTTCTTTTAACCACATATACAAATTTTAATTTATTATTATCTGTGTCGGTCAAAATTGGTAAAGTTTATGACGAGGGAAGTAGATAGTACTACCTCCGTCCCATTTTATGTGTCTTAGTTTGACTTGGCACGGTTATTAATGAAGTGGTTGAAAAAGTAAAAGTTGTGGTTGAGATTTGAGTATAATAAAGTGAAATGGTGTAGACCACATATTTCTTTCCAAAAAAGGAAAGGAGACACTTATTTTGGGACATCCAAAAAGGAAAGTAAGACGGCTAAAATGGGATGGATGGGGTATTATTTATCCAAGCTAGATATGAAACTTCAACTCAGGTATTGTTTAAAGATGATCCGTTATTTTTATTTTGTATTCAATTCAGTTTTTGACTCCCATGAATCATTTTCAGGCTCCGCCACTAGTTACAAAGGTAACCGTTATCAATTTTAGCCAAAAACCATCCCAAATTTAATAACCGTTCCATATGCTCTAATGATATTATATTATTATATAGGTGTGCCCAAAATGATATTATACGGATACTGATATAGTTTTGCCCAATATGAGTCAAATATGTGCCATAAAATATATGCAGATGAGTAGTTTGTAGAGTTGAATTACACTTATCCATGTCATATGCACCCATAAATACCCATTGTTTATGTTTCTTGTACGTATTCATGGTCTGATAAATTTTGATAGATGTTGCTCATTGAATTTGTTCTCCGTTTGCCCGTTTGGTGAGGTATATTTATATTTAGTTAGCATCTTAAAGAAGTTATATCAAGAATAAAGATCAAATGAGAACGGTGTTTAACGTGAGAACACCACATTTACCCCAACATGTTGCACGTACAATCAAGTTTGTATATTGCACTTTTTCGCATTTTGACAATATTTACCAAAATGTCACCGTGTTTATTTAAAAGAGACTTAATTCGAGCAATTAAAAATGTGCAACAGAAGAGCTCATTTGTGCACTACATTGATTTAAATGTGAGTGTTCTCACGTTATTGTGCCCATTGTATGAAATAAATATACTTGAATTATTTTATATTATTGTGTACATCAATTCAATAATTCAATTCAATAAAATTCATTTGTAAACTTGTACTTTATATGTAGCACTTCTCAAATTAATTAATTGGTTACAATTTTACAAACTTATAACTTACAACTTGAAATTATTTTTGTAAAATCTAAAGGCTGTTTTTAAATTAAAATATGTAATATTAATATGTAAATTAATTTGTTACAAACTTACAAGTTACAACTTATACAGTTATACACCAATTTTGTAACATTTGTAAATTATAAATCAAATCACTTTTCTAAGTAAAAATAGTTTTACTTAATTAAAAAATTAAAAACATTTTCCTTACACAATATGTATAATTTTCTAAATCACATCACTTTCCTTACACTTTTCTAACTCAAATCACTTTTCTAAGTAAATTATACACAATATGTATAATTTTCAAAAAAAAAAAATTAAAACATTTTGAAGTGGGAGATTGCCCCCAAACGGCTATATAGCCGTTGGGGCTTAGGGTGGGGGGCAGGGGGGTCCCGGGGGTGGTGGGGTGGGGTGGGTTCAAAAACATCTATAAATACATCTATTTTCTACCATTTTCTACACCTCTTCTCCAACTCTTCTCCATTTTCATCTTCTCTTATTATCCTACATTTCTACTTATACATCTACCATTTTAAAGATGGAAAGTAATTCTTCTGTTATGCAAAACAACTGTGATAAGTGGAAGGACCCGAAGACCGGACTGTGGTGGGCAACTTGCAAGTGGTGCAAGAAAGAGTGTTGCTTGGGGCGTTCACAAGGAGTCAGGATGCCAATAAAACATATGAAGTCATATGACAAAGGTAAAACAACAACCAACGGTGGCGGAAATCCCAATTGATATTTATTCGAAAATGTATTTCATATTGTTATTTTTTCCTCAATTCTCAAATGTACTTCCTATTTCAAATAAATGCACTTGAATTTTGTTTTTAATAACAATTATTATAATAATATAATATATAATTTAAAAATAAAAAATAAAAGGCCCGGCCCGAACCGGGCCCGGCCCGTGAACCTGGCGGGTGGCCCGGCCCGAACCGGACCCGGGATTACCCGGGCCGATTCCGGGCCTCCCAAACCGTGAACCGAGGCCCGGCCGGTTCAAGGCCCGAACCGGCCCCGGCCCGAACCGAGTCCATCCCTATCTAAAAATAGTCTTAATTTGGCTTGATAACCCTTGATTCACACAATGTAACAATCGAGTTTCTCCCCGAGTCTCTACTCTCTACAACTCTACAGGCTATATTCTTGAGTTGAGACTTGAGAGACGTGATGAAAAGTTTATAGTCAGTGCATTGTCTTCTTATTTGCGGCACAAATTTCTTTTTCATTGTGTCCGGTTTAACGCCTTTGTTTTCCGAAAGCTACTACAAATCATTTAGATTTAGAGAATCTGTAATCTTGGCTTCGAAATACTACGTGTGATATTTCGACCATATGATGAGTTATGCATGAAAAAAGAAAGAAAAAACAAATAGTAAAAATAAACTAAAGACACCTCAAGTACATAGTTATATACTACTCCGGATTACACAATTAAATAAAATTTGAATCAAACATTCATAGTTATATACAATCTTTCGATCAATTCCGGTTGTGTTTAGGATTGGGAATTTTAGGTGTTATTAGCTAATTTAAGTTTGAAAGATGTTTATACGATTCCATAATACTCCGTGGTAAAGACGTAGAGTAATGGACCATATATACTTATATAGAAGAACCATGGATATATGAAGGAAGAGACGTTTGAGACAAAAGCCAAGGAGGACTTCGAATGAAGTCCAGGACATTGGTCATCGAATATTATTCAAAAGGCAAGTCAGTATTTCAAGGTCTACTAACCCAGATGGTAAAATGATAGACATAATTCTAGTTTGCATCAAATGCATATTATACAATGTTCATAAAAGGATTAAGCACAATCAAACCCCGAGTTCAATACTATGGGCACGCCGGCAGCTAGAAGACGGAGCCATTCCACCCAAGGTTGTAGCCCTACAAAACAGATAAAGATCCATAAGCATCAGCATTATCATATTCAAAAGCAAAACAGATAAAGATCCATAAGCATCAGCATTAGCATATTCAAAAGCAACCCAACAACCAGGGCTTGTTTACTCGGGAGATTCATGGACCAGGGGGGGGGGGGGGGCAGGTGGGCAAACATTGAATTTTATTTCATTTATTATTTTCAAATTAGAAATATAGAAATAACTATATGCTTACCTTAGTTCATGTATTTCTAAATAGTTTTACAGCCCGGCTTTAATTCCAACTAACTCCATGTAGAAATTAGTTAAAAATAAATAACACACCTCCCTCCCTTTCCATCACCTCCAAAGTCATTGAACCAAACAACCACTAGAGCCTGGGGAAGCTAATAAGGTAAACAAAAACTACAAGCACTAATAAATAATTTATTGTGATTATGATGAGCAGTGAAAGTCTGTTTACATTATCAACTACTAGTTCTGGTGTAAAGCATGAAGGCATTGTGCATATTCTTGACATGGATTGGCCTAAACAACGAGAAAATGCAAAATGAGTTGAAAGGATCATCCTTCAAACCATTTAGAGAGAGCAAACGTAATAAAATGTGCTTGCCTTGGAATCATAGAATTTGAGGAGATAGCGTGTCTTGGGGATTTTCAGCTTGGCTTCAAGTATGGTAGCAATGGCAGCACTCAGATCCTTGTTAACCTGAGCATTCAGTCCCCCAACAGAGACCAACTCACCATACGCTGCTGGCTCCTCTGTCCCTCCAAAAGACAATGGTACAGATCCTTTCAACACAATCATCACATACTGCACCATAAAAAAAGATATTCAGTTTAGACTTTAGGTACAAGCCAAATGTATTAGATTAGCAGCAAACGCCAAAATATATAACTACAGCCACTAGCCAAATGCATTGGAGATTTGGAGTGAGAGGTCAGTTGTGGATGTCATCATCCCCTAAAAATACAGTATAGCCAAATTTCGTCCCAGACGAGTACAGTATTCACGTTTAAGCACAAAAAGAGGCAGAACATCATAACGATAGTTTCACATTCCATCGACTACAATAAATTGCCTCAAGAGGTGTTGATTACCGATGAAAAGTGAAAGCATGAAAGCATGATATAGTGTGTACACACTTAAAACTTCGAATATAACCGTGCACTAGGTATCAGGATTTTCTATATGTCAAAATGTGTAGCCATTATACAGATCTGCGTTGAGATGGAGCATCTCTTCAAACGGAATTTACAAACAAACTTACAAATCATCAACGAGGACTGAGGAGCCTATTCAACCAGGAAATAGGGAGGTAACAATCCTCATTTTACACTTCTCAATTCAATTCAAACAAGAACAGAGTACATCTGTACATATATAATTGTCTTTCCATTTTCGTTCTACCTCTCCCTCTTTTTGGCAACGAGATTTTAATCACCCGTAAATTGGAATACGACATATCAACGAAGGAGATCATTTGCGCAATTAGAGTTCAACCTAAAAATAATACGGAGTACTCCGTAATACGAACACACAGAGAGAGGGGGGAGGGGGCGGAGGAGTAATCATACGCTTTCAGGTTTTCCGGTGTGCTTAGCAACGACGGAAGTAGCTTCTTTGAGGATGGCGGAGATATCGATGCCTTCCAGGTTAACATTCGTTGACAGGTTAAGGCAAGGCATTTTCCGACTATCTGTATTCCCGGCGACGAAGCAGCAGCCCTGTCTGTATTCGGATTACTCACTCAAAGCAGTACAAAACCCTCCCGATGAAATGTACTGCCCTTTATACTCGCTGGATAACATAACAATGGTGGAGTGGAGTTACCTCGATATAGTTAATTACATCTACCCCCAAAGTTTAGGTTTATTAAGCATCGGTCCTACCAATGTTGACGTTTTAGCTAAAACGTTTATAAATTGGTAGATTCTGCCGTATCCATAAGGTATCGTACTTTTGTCCACGTGGACTAATGAGAATGTTGGAGTTGAATTATTTAAAGGTGACAACTCCGGTACCCGTTTAAAAAATGGGGTACCGTACCTACCATGCATTTGATTGGTCCAAATCATTAAATCCCTTTTAATTTAGATTTAAATAATTCAACTTCATGATTCTGATTGGTCCATGTGGACAAAGGTACGGTACCTTATGGGTATCATAGAATCTACATTATTTAAATCTAAATTAAAAATGATAAAGTGATGTGGTTCAATCAAAATGAATAGTAGGTACGGTACCTCATTGTTTTAAAAGTATATCTTTGCATAAAGATGAACTTTCAAGTTTCACCAACATTACTTTTGTACGCACACTCTAAAAACTTTGACAAAATTGCTATGGTTAAGACTAGAACATAGATTTCATTTAAAAATAAATCTTGGTTTTCTCTAGATAGAACTAATCATTTCATTTTTACCTCTAATTGAATTAAGTAATTAACTCAATTAATTGCCCCTAATTCTCTTGCACAATCAATGCAATATGATGGTGGCGGGGGCAGCCGGGCAGGTCGGTGGTAGCGGCAGCATGGCGGCAACGGAAAGTGGCGACGATGGCAGAAATGTTGCCAAATTTTCAAAAAAAAAAAACTTGAAATATTCTGGTGGTGATCGACGGTCCGGCTTTGGCAGCGCATAGTCGGGGCAGGTGGCAGACAGCGGTGCAGGGGCAACAATGAAGGTATTTTGGTTCAATCACAAATAAATAGTCATAATTAAGAATGTTTAAATTAATCGATCCTATTTTTGAGAAAAAACTACTCCGTATGTTTTAAATTCATGAGATCACATGATGAAGTTTTACAATGAATTTGCGTCAGGAAAAATAATCAGTCTGAATGATATTGACAACCTCATAATCCTGATTTTTGCGTATGTCTGACTATCTTTTAGAATAGATTATAGAAATAATTACATCAATATGACCAAAATAAAGATGGTTTATAAAAATATGATTAGTTACTAGAGTAGTAATGAAAGCATAGTAATTCATGTTCAAGTTTCGAACTTAAGTTACTACAACACTACGTTGTAGTAATGAATAGTCATATTTATATAAATAAGTTTTATTTTAGTAATATTGTTGTAAAAAACCCTAGATTATATGATTGGCGTGGAATATTTAGTTATGATTGACTTAAATACAAGATAAAAATAACGACATGTGTGACCTAAAGTCGTGATTAAGAGGTTGTCAAAGGGTCATTAGGACTTATACGATTACTTTTTATAAGTAGATGAATGTATATGACACTTTATTGAGTACATGATCTTATATGACTATTTCATAATAGTAGAATAAATTATTTGACCCTTTTTTCTTTTAAAATAAAGATGGCACTCCGTATAATTTTAATAAATTAAACTTGCGAAAAGAGTTTCCACTAAGTGTTTGCAATTGCTTTAAATAAGTGCTTATCAGCTTTTAGATTAAAAAAAGCTACATATGATGTTTGCTAACCACAACTTCTAATTAAAAAAAGCACTTTTAAGTTAAAATCTAGAAGCTAGGATATACTAGCTTTAAAGTGCTTCTAGTTTTTTTGCAAATAACTCCAACTCCAAGGATAATCCTAATGGCTTATTTTTTCACTTCAACCAAAAATATCCTCCATTCTTTCCTATTTTCTCTCCCCCAGCCTTCTTGTATCCCGTCTATCCCCTCCACCTTTTCTCATCACCACCACTAACAACCTGCACAAATGCACAATATTACATATATAAGGAAGCTTTTCCTCAATTTGGCATCGTACTTGTACTTGCGCCTACCTTTGATTTAGCCGTCCAAAACGCCGCCACCGTCCAAAATGTCGCCGCTGCTATTGAATCACCGGCATCGTACCTGCACCTGCGCTTACCTTCGATGCAGCCGGAGTCGTTCGCCGTGGGGTTGCTCTGGTTTTGGATTGCTCTAGTTTTTTTTATTAATGGGGTTGTGGACTTGTGGCTGGACAGATGGTCGTAGGGTTGGATGTGGGAAATAAATGAAAAGGGTTTGAGGGTATATTTGTAACTTAATAAAACACTATCATAAAAATCACTTTTTTATCAAACACTCCAACTTTAACTTTTCCATCTTAATCACTTCTATCCCAAAACACTACCAACTTTTACTAAAAAGCACTTTCTCCAAAATCACTTAAAAATACCACTTTTTTTAAGTCCAAGCAAACGCAAACACTCCCTAATACTCCTATGCAAATTCATGGCGCACCTCCATTGACACGTATTTCTTCCTAAGCTTCATGAGTTCATGTGATATATTGCCATATTGGGCTATTTGGTTAAGAACCTAATTTTTGGCTGATTTGACTAAAAATGGCCTTTTGACTAGACTAAAAGGCCAAGAAGAGTGTTTGATTAAATGATTTTTTGTTTTATTTTTTTATCTCAAACAACCAAAATAAGAAATCCTAAGAAATACGTAGTATGGGTTTAGGTATGACGTTTTCTTATTTTTACGTTATTCCCCATGCGGCCATCTCCTTTCGTATTTGCCTGCTCCGAGTCTCCCACAGTCCCACACGTCAAAGAGAAAAATCACCCACAGATGACACTGCTATATTCAACTTTTCAATTTTCACCCAAGAGAACACTTGCAGGGAGCATGCATCCCTTTAATAAAATATTCATTTCTAGCTTTTTCTTTTTCAATCTAGCCTCAGTTCAATTTTGTTGGGGATTTAATGGACAGGACTCGGGCCGGGAGCAACCAGTTTGATCAATTCTTCCAAAAATGGTTTTCTAAATACTACCTACTCCCTCCGTCCCGTAATGAACTTCCCGGTTTGATCTACACACATATTAAATAAATAAACTTACAGGAGGTAAATTTTACTGTTTTGACACTGTTTCAACTTGTCATTTAAGGAAAGAGGAACTTCTTTTTGGGACTGCTAAAAAAGGAAAGCGGAAACTTCTTTGTGGGACAGAAGGAGTATAAAATAATGGGAAAAGGAACAAATATACCCCTGTAGTATGGGTGTTGTAACATATATACCCATATTCTTTTTTTCGGAACAAATATACCCCTGAACTTTTAAAAAGGTGCAAAAATATCTTTCATGTTCTTATAAAGGGGCAACTTAATCCTAATTGACTTTAAATTAATAAAATAAATTTAAAAAAACACCAAATATAAATTATAAATTCGAAATTAGAAAACAAAAAATTTTAAAAATGTAATTGTCCAATTCTCCTTTTTATAGTTTTTATATCACAATTTAATATTGTTTAAGTATGAAATATTATTTCAAAATTTTACTATATGTTTAAGATTCTTTCGAAAAGGTGCTAAGTTGCTAACATATGTTTCGCAATGTAAAGAAAAATAATTTTTTTTTTGCATTCTTTGCACTATAAAATTACATATTTTGAAATAATATTTTATACTAGAAATATTAAATTGTGATATACAAACAATAAAGGGAGAATTGGACACAATTACATTTTTAATTTTTTTTTTAATTTGATATTTTAATTTATTTTTGGTCTTTTTTGAAATTTATTTTATTAATGTAAAGTCAATAAGGATTAATTTGCTCCTTTATAAAAACATATATGAGAGATATTTTTGCACCTTTTTAAAGTTGAGGGGTATATTTGTTCCGAAAAATAGAACAAGGGTATATTTGTTCCTCCACCTATATTACAGGGGTATATATGTACCTTTTCCCTAAAATAATTATCTATCCGCTACTAGCTTTCGGTTTGAGCTTTTTGAAGTCAATTTTTTTTATATATTTCTTAAATTATTCACTATGTTCAACCGATACTCGTGACATATAAATATTCTTAATAGAATATCATCAAATCATTAATTTATTTAAATTTATTCCATAATCTCATACGGAGTATATCACAATAATGACCAAAGATTGTTAACATTATATGTGAAGTACTCGGTATTTATTAAGGAATTAAGGATGTTTTTACTTCGACTAAAATTTGTTGGTCTGATCTAGTTTGATCTATTTAAGTATCATCTGAACTGCTCTGATCTATTCTGGGAAATGTTAAATCCCGTTATATATATGTTATAATTATGAAATCTAGTATATTTAAGTCTATAATTACGATAAAAAAAGTCTATAACTATGAAAGTCTAGTATATTTAACTCTGGTCTGGTTTGGAATTGAACAATCCAAGTAAAAACATCATGATAGATACCCTAAAATCCATAATTTTTTTAGAATTATACTTAGCTTTGTAGTTATTACTCGTAAAAAAATAAAAAGTCATACTTTTATACATATACTTTAATACGTAGTATTTCAAGTAAAGATTAACTGTACTATCTGATGATGGAATAAGTATTTGTATCCATATATACCATTAACCTAGGTAAACATGTTTGGACATTTTAATGTGAAGATTGAATGGGCATTACTGAAATTATGAGCAAATTTGAGAATTTTGGTACTCCGTATGATACATCGAGTTCTACAGCAACATTGATTAATTACCATCATATCAACCAATCAAATCATCCGCTGATCCGCACTTAGGAGATTCAAACGCGAGCTACAGCGGGCGGAGCCGCACCGTTTGTCGCTGCGCCGCCTGTCAACAAAGAGATGATCCCAATGGCGGGAGCCGTCTGTTGTTCGTCGAAGTAGAAATCTTCGGGAACACGAAAAGCGGCATGGACGCAAACAATGGCGACGCTCACAAACAAGGCGGAGACCAGAACGGATCCGACGCTGGTCAGGAAGACGACGAACAGGGTCGACACGACGAGGCCGGCGAGGATTTCAAAATCGGAGAACTCGCGGCCGAAGAGGACGAGAGGTTGATCGGCAGGGCGGAAGATGTAGAGGAAAAGCCAGCCGGCGAGGAGGGCGACGAGGAGGAAGAGGGTGAGCGGATTGCTCATGAGCGAGATCCCGATCACCGCGGCGGTGAGAATGTGGTAATTCGTCCGGAAATAGGCGTAGTTCTTGCGGACGCGGAGGGTGGCTTCCGAGAAGGAATCCGGCTTGGAGATGGCGGAGCGGGCAACCATCTCGTGCCAAGGACGGCGGTGGGAAAGGCCATTCCGTACATTCTCCGAGATTTGGTTTACAAAGTTGCGGAAAGCAGGGGTGGTAACGAAGGCCCCCGTATCAGGGGATGCTACAGTGCTGGAGGCGGTGGTGGATTGGCGGTTCGAAGTAGGGGTAACCGCAGGCGTCGCCATTGCTTTAGGCTGGCTGACTGGTTTGGTCCAAACCTACGGTTTTTAAACTTTGCAATTAAAGGAAGTTGATATTGATCAGTTTTTTTGTACAAATAAATAAATCCAATAGAGAATAGAGATGGAGAAAAGAGGAGGAACATGCATCAGTGAATCTTATGAGATCCATATTCATCCTACGAAGTATATTTTAATTTTTAACTGTAGCGTCAAATTCTATCATATAGAATTTTAATGCGAACAACCAAGGGTTTGATCAATATCGGTAAAAGTATATCGATATATTTTAGGGAAATATTGATAGACATGTCACAAGTTTTGATAAAATGACATTAGGAACAATAAAGAAATAAAAATGACGTATAAACAAGGGAACAAGGGGAGAACAAAAAACGAAAAAACGAAACCGACCAACAAATCGACTGATCAAAACCGAAACCGATCAAAATCGCACCGATAAAACCGAAACCGATCAAAAGTGACTAATTCATCAGTTATTCGATTTACGGTTTATACTTTTGTGTTAAAACCCCGGTCAAAACAAAATCGGCCAACAAAACCCGGCAAAAACGGCTAAAATTGACCGGAAAAAATATGAATCGACTTGAGTCTCAAACTGACTTAAATATTGCAGTCTGATTCTCGGTTTCATCTATTCTAAAAGTCACTAAAACCGATGGATTAAAAACTAAAACCGATGAACCAAAAACCGAAACTAACCAAAATCAAACTGATAAAACCGAATTGACGAACACCCCTAGTACAAACGTACTACCTCCGTCTCAGTATCATTGAGACATGAGGAAAAGGTGCATCTTTAGAAAAGTGAATTTATATGGTTGATACCGAATTAATGAAAGTTGATTTTGTTTCTTGCAAAAAAAATGCAGCCCTCACTACGATTAACTATGGCGACGTGCCACCACAGACATATCACTAGCAATGGCGTTGACATCTACGATATCAATACGGCGAAACAAACTCCTGCTACCGCTAGATTGTTGACTATTGCCAGTTTCCCATTAGATGTCAGTTTGATCATATTGGTATTGGATTTCTACGGGCGGAAAATGTTAACTACCCTGCCACTGTTGGAGGTTTGGATGGGGAACAAATTGGTTTCTTAACCAAGTATACCCATTTTTGTTGACATTAGAATATCTTAATGTTCACCAGTGATTGAGAGTTTGAGACTAGAAGACAGGGTTAGCATGTGCAAGTGTGCAACGCTTATGGGCGCAATTCATTGGCAAGATGAACTGATGAACATACTTCTCTAAATTACTTGTGTCTGAAATAGGGTGGTATCTAACTAGAATGACATATACAAGTTACAACAGATACATAAACTGCATCATCTATTTTACAACCATGGAGAAATACACTTCTTTCTCCTCGCATATATTAGCAACATCATGTTTTGGACCACCATAAATCACAGGCAGAGGGGTTTGGGGTGCATAGTCTGGCAATAAACATTCTATAACAACACAAACCCTCATTGAGAAACATCTAGCTTTAGGGGTTCTGTGAAACGGCAATACAATCTTAAATTTTCTGACCTCATCATCTCCACTACCAAGCTCAAGCAAATCAAGATAGGCATACTGGGTTAACTTCTCTTCTACGCACATTTTCACCCAAAGCCTATTCTCAAACGACACATTGTAAATCTTCATTGCAAAGGAAACACCAACAGGTAACCCCGGAACGAACGGCAGAGGATACTGAAAGTCAGTACCTTCAACATCCATTTCAGCCATTTTACATTTGAACTTTCTTTGTGGTAGAACTAACTGTCTCGGTTTGAATTTCTTGAGAGACGTCAAGAGAAATAACGGATTCTCCATTGGAATGCATTCATTCAAACCTGTATAAAGCTCTCTGACAAACCCGGAAAGTGCATCAGGTCCATATTCATGCATCAGTTGTGCCCTGGAACGTAATTTTACTAAAGCACTGTTGTTATTATGGCAGAATGCTTCTGATGTACACAGTTTTGCTGTTTCCGTCACAAGCTTGAGTTCCATGATATGATACTCGTCCTCTTTGGTCAAACCTATGAACCTATACCTCATCTCTTTTAGAATCGTGTCAAGTTTGTCAAACAACAATCGCCAATCTCCTATTTGGTGGGTGCAGAACCTTCTGGGTAACATGAGGCGGCCCCACACCCTTCCAATCAGTTCTATGGCATCCAAATAGTATGATATGAAAACCAATTCACCCCTGCATTGGGAGACACTTTCCAGTCTTGTCACCTCTGCCTTCAAGCATCTGTATGAGCGAAAGAATCAGAATATATTGCATTCAAGCAGATCAAGAAGATATATTTAATCTTGTTTATTAACATGAACACATCGATAGTAAAGAATCTCAATAATTTGCAATCTTAAGGGTCCGTTTAGGCCACATATACTAAGCATGAAAGAAAATATGAAGGAAAATAGTGCAGAAACTTGGAATGAATGAAAATTTGGGGAGACATAAAAATATTCTACTCAAAAAATAAATTTTTATATGTGTTCAAACTTGTTTTATTTATATACTCCGTATTTCTTAATATAAATACTAAGAAATCTAAACTTATGGAAATTTTTGAAAATAAATAGCCCATATTTGGTTTCCCATTGTATTATAAAGCCACTCACCCACTTGTGAGAAAATGACTACGTCTAGAGGAACATTAGGATAAATTATTATGACATTCCCTTGTGACTTGCATTTATTATTTTATTGATTGACGAAAGTTGGGCATGTGACCATCACCCAAAAAAATACATGCCAAGTGATTCCTCATAATGTACACCTTGGATGTTTTTTATAGGACTGAAATTTTCAGGTCTGATTGGGTCTATTTAAATCTGGTCTGGTCTCGTAGATGTTTATTCTATTTGTATTTTATAACTTGTTGAAGTTTTGTCTAGTGTGGTCTGCTTAAGTCTGTCTGGTCTCGGACGGAAACCAATCAAATTAAAGACATCATTAGTATTCATCTAGACTTTCTCTATGAAAATAACTTTCCACATCATTTCATGAGATCCAAACTTACCCCACAGTTTGAGATACTTTATCCACCAATCCAAGTTCTAGCAATGGCCAGATGTCTGTGACCTTCTGTAGAATAGCTGTTGTGCAATCTCCCCTCTTTACCTCATTTATTTTCTCAGAGCAACCTCCATCAGTTTCATTTTGAATCAACAAGTACGCATCACCTTCCTTAGAATGTGAGGGACCACACTCTTCCGCTTTGAAGAATTCTGCAGCAGAAGCAAATGTGAATCTGCTGCAAAGAGAGAGATAAGTGAGAAGGTTATTCTGATTCATTACATCAGTTAAACCGTGTGATATTCTCCCCAGTATGGTGACTGCATATGAGAACATTACTGGTTGAATGCTGCAGATTCGGCGCTCTAGTGACACCGGAGCTGAGATTGCCAACACCATAAATGAAGATGCTCTTGCATTGTCCAAGCTCCACTTCCCACCAAGAGATGGCTCTATCTGGTGCAAAGATGAGACACTTAAAAAATCAACTTCAGCGAATAGGTGACGTTTTATAGGTCCATCTGTGATAAGACAATGCTAAAGTGTGTGCTTCATACTGTAGCAAGTAAAACAGTTAAACCAAAATTAAATAAACAATGGTACTAATATTAATACTTACCAAATTGGAAACCCCATGGATCACGTTCACAACAAACTTCCCATGCTTTTTACCAAGACTAAACAATACGGAAAACACATCAGCTTCATCCTGAAATAAATAGCAAGAGAAGTTCCATCAATCAACATTACTACTGCTGTAAGTATATAAAAACATTACAGTAAATTCACTTTTAAAAGTACACCTCTGTCCAAAAAAATTATTGACTTGGCGCACTTATTAAGATAGTGAAATTGTATGGTTGTTGCTGATAGAAAAAAGGAGAAACAATATCAACGACACAAACCTTTCCCAAAAAAGGGAAGAAAATTCTAGGACATCCCAAAAAAGAAGGTAGGAGAAAATTTTGGGACGAAGGGAGTAATAAAACTACAGGATACTTAACTACCATATAAATCAACAAGCATACACACACAAATGCAATAAATTGATAATCATTGTTTAAATATAAAATACCTGCGGATAGAGTTCTAAATTTTTTACAAGGCCGTCAATGCACATTTTGAAAAGAGTCAAAGTCCTGAGTTTAGTTATCTTAACTACTCTCCTTGCTGCAGACCTTATCAAATTGTCATTATCCACAAGAGTACTGACAAACTGCACAAGTTGACCTCCAAAGTCAATCATCATATGAACTTTCAAAGGAAGCATAATTCAGTGACTTATGCACATACAAAACATTGTAGGGGATTAAACTCTTAAGTAGATAAATGCATACATCTATTCATCTAGTAACTTCTATGTTTCGGTACAAGACTATAAGACGCATGTTTGATTGTTTATATTAGCATATCCATTCAATGTCTAATTAACAATACTGTTAAACACAACAAATGTATGACCAGAAGCTTATGCATGCTACTAGTCTCGGAGTAATCCTGCAGGGTGGTTTTAGATCAATAGATGTAGCAGATAATTACCAGCTTTAAATGTGCTTCTTGCACCTTTAGACAATCAAACATTCCCATGCTATGCATCGCCTCTAAAGCTTGCAACCTTACATCCAGTGAATCATCATTAAGAACATCCACCAAAAGGTCTATAGCTTCGCCCGCAAAATCAGCAGAGAGAATGGTCAATCTCTGTAAGGCACGACAGGCTGAACTTCGTACCTTCAAATGAAAATGGATGAAAAAATTAACAGTGACACAAGTCTCACTGAAATTTATAGAAAGGGAACAAAAATATATGGACTTGTAGATCGCACATACTCCCACCTTTTTAAAATAACTGTCCACTGAGGTAGAACCGTAGAATTATTTTTTTAAGTGATCATTCATTTTATAATTTCCATCATTTGCAATGGAGCCAAAAACTCACTATTTTTTGGCTTGAAATATGATGGAATAAAGCAAAATGGCTCAGTAAACTGTCTGCCCTTCTTTGTTATGAAGTAGCAGTCAGTCCATGTAAATTTCGACGCGATTTTCACTATGGGTCATCCGGAAACAGCCTCTTTGGGAGCCTTTGCGGCACTGGGGTGATGATGATGATGATGATTCATTTTATACTAAATTAACAGCAACATCTGAATTACTTTAGGTGTTAATTACTTTAGGTATTAATAGTAACAAACAAAGGTCAAGTATATGATGGGGTAACATGGTCATTTTACTTTTATTTAAATGGTTTTCTAAATGGAATGTTGTTTGTGGTTTTGTTCACAAATGTCTTTTCTGAATGGCCAGTTATACAAGACCGGAGGGAGTAATCTGCATGCATATGAACCCAAAACATGACAGTATACAGCCGACCTTTTCCAGAGTCAGAGACAGATATTATAACCTATTCATGGATAAGTTGTACCTCATAGAATTCGTCCTCCAAGCCATTCACAAAAGCAAAAGCAGCACTTGATGCTGGTAGCTTAGAGGATTTGGTAGTGAACTGTCCAGGAAAGTTCTTTTCTTTCATGGCTGGTGAAGCTTTCTTTGATAGGGTCAGTAAGAGAAGATCTTTGGAGACCAATTCAACATTCCCAAGAGAATTAAATGCTTGTATTCTAACCTTGACACTCATGTCTCTGACCATTGAGCAAAGCTAAAAACAAATCATGCACCATAAATCCATAATAACTTCAGAAGACAAAAATACTTTTTTCACTTACCATGACCATTTTGGTTATGATTCAACATGTGGCAGAGAAAATAGATAGTGAGATTAAATAAATCCCAGGGGTAAGGGGTGTAGTGCCCTAAATGACAATCACTAAATTTATATATCAGCAGTTCAAAAAGAACAATATAAAGCATAGTGAATAGGCCACCTGTACAAATAATGTGTCTGACCAGTCACTTCTACTTTTCTCATGGTTGGCAGCCACAAGCGAATGCCCACATTCACTAACCTGGAATTAAAGAAAAGGTAAAACAAGCAGGACTAATGGCTTGTATGCCCATGCAGAAAATAAAATAAAACAAAAACTTTCTAATATTTATTTTTGAGATTCCAAACCAAAAGGAAAAAAATGCACAAGTGTGATTAGGCATAGAAGAGGCACTCAATCTCAGGTTCTAAACAAAGAAAATGTTCAATGACTATCTCATAAATTGTTAGATTATTCGTAGTAATTTACATATGAAGATTTGCTAATCGGGAAAGACACACAAACTAGCAATGTCAAAATTCAAAAAGATTTTCGCACACTTGATGCCCTTCACTACCAAATATCAACGGTGGGAATAAATAAACATGATTCCAGACAGTAACTTTTCAGACTCACATAGAAATTTTGCAGTGGGTAAAACTAACAGGAGGCGCTTGGTATCCAATACTAGACTACTGGTGGCGATTCCTAATTAGTACGGAGTAATTACCAAAAACAAAACAAGAGAATATCAATAACTAAACTCAGAAAGCAGCACCATTAAGCATTTAGCTTCAATTCTACACGACCAAGACTCATCAAGTAGAGTCACTACTGAAGCAAAGTCAGTCCAGTTGTAGGAGATCATACCGCACAAATTGCAGAGCATCGCACAGTGTCCTCAGTGTCAAATAGTAGCTCAACAGCACGAAAATAACAACCTTGAATAAGACTCTTATCTTCAACCACAATGCATTTACATAATCCAGATAGTCCATCCAATGCAGCGCTACGCATGTTCGGATACGGGTCCTTGGTCAACCCAAACAGAACTGTAAACAACACTGATGGCCGCATAGCAAAGCTGTTAGCATTCCGCAAGAGCCAAATCCTGACAGATACACATGGCCGGAAAACCAGCGACAGGAACTCTGGTTCGTTGAAGGCGTCAGTAGCAGATAGGGAGAGGAGAGCAGAGAGGGCCTCGGCATAGGAGCGAGTGGAGGTAGAAGGAAGGAGTGAGAATGATTGGATGGAGTTGATGACGTCTTTTCTTCGGTGGGGGTGGCGGCGAGCGAGGAGATGAAGGATGGAGAGGATAGCGCGGTGGTGAGAGTGGCGGTGGTTAGGATTTTGGAGAGATTGGGTTAGGGTTTTGAGAATAGCGGCCAGAGAAGAATCGGTGGTGGAAGGGTTGCTGACGAGAGACAGAACAAAGTTTATGGCCCGGAGAGGGAGAGGTGAATCCGGTATGTTAGCCGCCGCGTTTTCAAACTCAGTGAGGAGCTGATTTTCCATCGGAAAGCTGCCGGCGTTACTCGGTGGCTGCAAAGCCGGAAAGTAACTAGGTGATTCGCAAGGCAGAGTCCGGCGATCCAAAGTGCAGTTCAACCCGTTGAGGAGGGAGCCAAATACAAGGAGTCCGAAGTCGGCCGATAAAAAGTAACCTGCGAGAGGAGGAGATAAAATCCGGCGATGATAAGTGGATGAAAGATTTATATAGCAAAGAAATCCTGAAAAAGTAAATGGAGATAAGTGAAATGGATGGAGATAATAGAACAACAAGTGTTGGAGGAGATGAAGCTCCAGTAAATTCAGACACCTGTTTTACTACGACGAGGGTATAAATTCACAATTGCTTTCTGGTTAGAAATTTTAATTGTTAAATTTCCCATCAATTAAAACTTGAGTTATTATCTGTGGCATAGCATTTAAACATTCAAGGTAAATGAAATGGGGATTTGCAATTATAAACTCTATATTTGTTGCAAGACTGTGGTTCATACGGTTCCATGACAACTATCTGTATGCAGCAAGATACTTTTATGCAATTACAAATTACAAATAGGTATAATAGTAGTCTAAAATAAGACTTGATAATAACAACTTCTCTTAAATATAACTACTGCATTTTTGCTTCTACAAGTTGTTTATTTGTCATAGATACAAACATTATTAATTGGGAGGAGCATGGTCAGATTGAGATAGTTCTTTAATATCATCGTTAAAGTGCACACTGTACACACTTAAATAATAGGTGACATATTTCATTTACTTTATTTACCAAAAGTTTAAATGGAATATGTGGTATACAAATAGTTCAGACAAAATTTCCAGGATTATTAGTAATCATATTATTTATGCAACAATGGCATTTTTTTATATCCAAATGCTCCTGAAAATCTCAAAAAGGGCAAATTAAAACAAATATCACTTTTTAAAAATTAAAGGTCATCTAGCCTGTAGAATGAATAGCTACAACCGTTAGCCTGGTTGCAAACGGGAGGGTGAAAAACCAAATTTAAGATTTTCACCCTCAATTACTCTACAATCCATGTATTTGTGGGTTGGAAAGTGAGTACCTAGCACCACGTCAGTGGGTATTTGGAGACTTATTGACGGAGAGAAAAGCAGCCGCAGCAATGTCTTATCCGTACATGACAATTCAAAAGTGTGTGGGGCCAAGAATATTAAAAAATCCCAATTTTCTTTAATTTGTTATAAGTTTTTTATTCATACTTCAATTTTTATAAAACATATACCAAAATTCTTTTTTTTATGACCTTTCATATGACACCAATATTATATATATATAAATTAAAAAATAAATAAGTTTTTTTTTCTGGAGATTTTTTATGTTCAGAATTTATATTAAATAAATTTAAGTGGTAAAATTAAGATCTTATGATTAAAATACTTTTTTTACATCTTTCAATTATTTCTTTCAAAAATAATTCTAAATTAACAACAACAAAATTAGAATCCAAATTTATTTATTTTTATATCGGAATGTTTGACTTTTAAGATTATAATTATTCAGCAAAACATATTTGACAAAAAATGACGTATAATAATTAAAGGAAGATTTTAATTAAGAACAACGTTGCTTGGTGAATATATTGATGGTGCTGGATTGCAGTAAAAACTGAATTGACTGAATGAATACGTATAAACTGATGAGAAATTTGATTTATTGACGGAGTTGGGTTGCGATTAGCCTTACAGAGTAAAAGCATGAAACTTCAAAAATGGGAAAACAACCATCTCCTCCGAACGTTCCGCAAACACCTTATTAGGGAGTAAGATGTTTAAATACAAAAAACTCAGAAAGGGGATTTCTTCTTCTTGGTCTGTAACGTCTAATACGAATATGATTAAAGTAAAAATCTGGATACCTGTTCGTCTCTCGTTGCAGATACGGCGCCTATTTCCTTCGACGCAGATCCGGCGTCTATTTGCCTCAGCTTCAATGGATGTGTACATATGACTAATCTCTAAATATGGAGTATTATTTTGATTTTTTGGTGGATGGGACCTATCATTAAACCACATCATCTTGTCACATGGGGTATCTAACTCTATAATGGAGGGCAAATTATACCGTACGACCAGCATACCATGCTCATGGAGTCATGGTATGTCTGGTCCAAATACGGCACCGTTTTATCCATTAAATACAAGTTTAACCCATAAAAAAAACAGACTCGTGATGCGCCGCAGTAGTGCAGCACCGACTGCCGACTGGAGCTCTTCAACTTGCAGAAACTCTTCAACTTTGCTGAGACTGATTGAATTTGCAGCACCGATTGAATTTGCACCACCTTGTTGGCATAGCTAATCCTCGAACTTTTTTCAAAAATGAAAAGTAAATTCCAATTAACACATATCTTTTGCTTTGATGAAACATCTAAAGTGCTTAATAATCAAATTCAATTAACATAATTTTATTTATTCTATTGATGTCAATCGATGGAATTAATTGTTATATGTATGTATGTATATGTGTTGTTTAATATTTGAAATTCCATCTTTTTATAAGCGAGTTACATTTTTAGAAGCGTGAGTTACATATTTTGAAACGCAAGTTACATCTTCTGAAGGACAAGTTATATGTGAATTTCCCCTGCAAGTTACATCTTGCTTACACATTATTTACATTCTTCATAATGCGAGTTACACCACAATGAGTAACATTTGAATACACTGTATTTACATTTAACAATAGCGCGAGTTATATACAAAAACAAAGGATTTACATCATGAAAAAAATTGAAACAAATGGTAGGATACTGTTCACGCGAATTTTATCCTGGGAGTAGAGTGTTCACCATGCACCGGCGGCACCGTATACGGACTGATAATGGAGTCATGTATAACTCCATGAAATTTCCGGCTGCAAAGCCGCCTTTTTATTGCTCCGTATGACCATGATACAAAAGAATTTGACACCGGTAAGAAACTAAAACAAGGCTAAAAGGGTCAAATAGCCTTTTTAGTTTTTACCCGTTTTTTAAGCAAACCTTTTTACCCGCTTGAAATGCTTAATTTGTATGTTTGGTAGTTTGGTACTAGTCAAATGTGTAATGAAGATTGTATTAAGTGACTTTAAATATTTTAGAAACAAGCTGATCACACTAAAGAGATTAAAATAAATCGATATGCTTTCTCAATCAATTATTAATATGATCATTTTTTTGGTAAAATATTAACATGATCATTGATCAAACATGCATGTTATGTCATCGAATTCAAATATTATAAAAGTAAGAAATCTCAGATCAATTAGTTTAAACTTATGATATGAAATGTTTACAAACATCATCATCTGGCAACGTGGGAGTTAGACATTAGTTGTACTTTAACAAGTTATTCTAAAATTTTATTCTCGAGTTAAAGATGTTTAAGAAAATAGATTGTGTTAGGAGAAGAAAGCATTTCAATCACTAATAAATTATTTTCTTTAAAAAAAGTATTAGCTCCGTCCCTTAGTTAGAGTCTCTATTTGACTTTTTCGGTCAAACTTGTTAAATTTTGACTGCTAATTACTCAAAATTGATAGTCGTAATATTTTCTCTCAAAAGAATTATTTAATGTGCTTCATGGTATATGTATTATTAAATGTCAATTTATTATAGATTTTATAGATATATATTTGGGGTTAAGAGTTAAGACTACAATATTACTTAAAAATTCTCGGTGGACAAAAATGAGTACTTATGTTTTAATTTCCAAAAATGACACTAAAATTTACTAATAGGACCATTACACCCTTAATGAACCCAGGACCACCTAGCTTGCTACAGTGACCTGGTACAGTGACCAAAGTGACCAATGGCACAGTTACCAACGCTCGGTGACCACCGTCATAAAACAGTGACTTCCGCCGTGGCCACAGTGACCTCCGCGGCCGGAAACAGTGACTTCCACGCGTGCCACAGTGCCCTTCGCCGTGGTTAACATGACCTCCGCCGCGGTCACAGCGACCTCCGTTGCCTGCCAGTGACCTCTTCCACTGCCACAGTGACCTCCGCCGCGGCCATGCCCACCGTCACCGGACAATGACCACTGCCCCGTCCGGTAACAGCCATCCCCTCCACTTCCCAGCCCCCCTCCCCAACTCCCCAACCCCCCCCCCCCCCCAAAGCCCCACCCTTGCTCACCTGTTGCCCTAGCCCCAGCCCCTACCCCAACCAAAAAACCCTCTCTAGCCTCGCCCAGCCCCATATCCAGCCACTGTCAGCCCCCTTCACCGCTCCAAACCGCTTGTAAATTGCCGCCCAACAACAGTGCCTGCTTCTTCGAACCGCCCAACACCAATACTCCCACACAACCACTAGCCCTTCGATGCCAGACCACCGCCTCCGCTCGTCACCCTTAGCCTCCATCTCCGCCACATACGGTAACCCTAGCCGCCGCCATCAGCGGTGTACAACCGTAGATCTGTTGAGGACGGCGGATCCAGCAGTGATGGCGGCCATCGAGGAAGTCTGAAGCAGCTACACCGTCCATCGATCTTTGTTTTTGGTCGATTTTAGTTGCCCTGATGAAGGAGAAGAAGCTGATGTACCGTCGAGGTAGGGAAGCAGTGGTGAACGAAGAAGAAATGAGAAGAAAACGAAGAAATCAGATCGATTGAAGATTCGGAGCTACTGCTTGCGGTCGAGGAGGGATGGAGATTCAAAGGTGGGAATTGCCATGGAAGATGGCTGCGCAGGAGTGGAGATGAGCGATGAAGATTCGAAGGGCAGACAAAAGATTTCCTAAATGGGAAATTGTTTGGGGAGGGGTAATTTAGTCTCTTTGCTTCAAGTCCGGTTCTATTTATGTCCAATCGCACAACCGGTCGTGTTTGTGTCTTTCATAACCGCATGAGTCTTATTCCGGTCATTGTTTCTATATATTTATAGGTAATCACGGCAAAACGTCCGTCCAGAAGATCGCAAAAGTAAAACTAGGATTTTATTTTGGAACGGAGGAAATATTATTTTGGGACGAGGGAAAATAGAAATTAAAACAAAGAACCGATATTGATAATATTACTTCATAATCTTGTCTAGTTTTGTCGTTGTTTGGTCATAGTTATTTTATTACGGTCTATTTATTTGTTCCGAAATGATACAAATGTGCTAGGTACAGACCACAGTTTTGGGATGGGTTTACTGAATTCGACCCACGTCTAAGGGTTGATTTGCAACTGCTTTTAAAAAGCACTTCTCAGCTTTTGGCTTTAAAAAAGCACTTATTTTCCCAAATACTACAACTTTTATTTTCTCGACTTCCGCGTCAAAAGTGCTTTTACCTTTTCTATTACACAAAAAGCACTTATTTTACCAAACACTACCCACTTTTACTTTTCAAAATCACTTTTTTCTAAAACACTATCAACTTTGATTTAATCACTTCTCCCCATTTCATTAGAAAAAGCACTTTTTTAAAAGCAGAAGCACTTTGAAAGAAAATGTGTTTTTCAATTTTTTCTTAAAAAAGCAGAAGCACTTTGAAGTGACTGATCTTGTTTAAATTAAATATTTAAAAATTAAAAATTGAAAGCAGATGGAGGAATGCTTTATATTATTTTCACCTTTTCTATTGCATAAAACACATTTTTTATTAAATAATATCAGCTTTCATTATTAAACATATTTTCTAAATTCACTTTTAATATTCACATTTTATCCAACAGACCCGGCCAGGCTTTTTCTTTGGGAAGGGAGAACCGGAACCGGCCCAAGTAGGCAACAGTTCCGGACCAAGCCAGTTCCGGTTCAATGTAATTTTTTTTATGTTCTTTTGCTTTTGTAATTAACCCCTGACCCCTCCCCCCCACCTCCCAACCCCCCCCCCCCCCCCCCAAAAAAAAAAAAAGACACCCAGCCCAACCCGGTAGAAACAAAAAAAAATTGAAAAAACAAAAAAGGCTCAAACCGGGCCGGTTCCACTTTTAGGAGGCCCGAGCCCGCCCCGGGAATTGAGCAATTTGGTACGCCCGAACCGGCCCGAAGACCGGCCAACCGGCCAATTACGGGCCGAGCGGCCCAACCGAGTCCACCCCTATTAACGAGACTTGAAGTCTTGAACTAACGATGACCCCTTCAACAATGCTGGAGGTTGGGCGAGGTTATATACCCTTGAAAGAAAACTCCCTACCAATCCAGATGAATTGCTAGTAAAGAAAGCCACCATATTTTACTAATGGACGGTGAACGGTTGGAACTTGGACCAAGGTACACCAATTCATTTTACAGTAAATGCTCGGACATGAATTCATTCGTGGGAAAAAAGTTTACCAATTCCCATACAGCTTCAGCCCTAACAAAAATTCAAGCAGTAATATATGCATTTCGAGAGCTTGTACAGATTGTCATCGAACAAAAAAAATACATATTCCGATCATGAATCCCCTCCGAGATATACGGCTAATCCAAAGCACCTGTTTCCTATTGCTGTTGACCTCTTTTCATGCCAACCTTCACCTTCCTTGTAAACTTCATACTGTCAATCATAGTAGCACACAATTTCATTACTTTTAACAATTGTACCTTGCCATAACTAAAAAAAAGCTGTAACTTGGCCTCAAATATATGTTTTTCAAAGAGGGAGTATCACAGTAAGAAAATATTTTATAATCAACTACATAGAAGCTAAAAATAAATGTCACGCACCGTTTCTACCACATCCTCTCCAGATCTCACCCCTCCAATGGCAAAAATGGAGTCTTTCACAACAGCAGCTGCTGAGTATCCCCTGCATTGGTTCATTTCCTCTCCGGGCATCCATTTCCCTAGACGAGGATCATACACTTCAGTGCTTGCCACCATTGCAGATCCATCAAAGCCACCCAGTGCGTATCTGCATTTTAACTTGTCAGTGGAAGATACTTTTCATTCATGATTTCCTTGGGTTTTTGTTTGCTTGTTATGTGATGGCTGATGAGAGATACCCTCCATCCATATCCTTAGTAAGTTTGCAGAGGGAGGGGTAAGAAAGAAAATAAGAGACGAAATACATACAGCTTTTCATTCATAGCAACCAACGCATGACAGCCTCTTTCAGTGTTCATACTCTCAATCCTAGTCCAGCTATGTTCTCTGGGGTCAAATCTTTCAGCAGACCTGGAAAAATGGTGAAAATTTTAAGAAAACTTATAACCACTTTAACATAACAATGATCCTATTCTTTATGAAACAAGAGATGAGTTGATAGTTTTATATGGTACAGATATAAAAAAAAGTGTCCTGGAAAAAAAGGGCTGGGACTTGAACAATGGAGCCATAATTTAAACTAAAAAAGTAGAGTAGTATTGTCAGCTCACTTCAAATAGTTGACTCCATCGTATCCACCAACAGCATACAAGGCACCATTGAGTTCAGCACCAGCAAGAGCAAACCGCTGGATATACAAAGAAATGTGAAATCATCAAGGGAGCAACTACTGGGACCCCATAACCCACACCAGAAAGATTATAGGCCATCATAGACTTCATTTCATAAAAAACAACACTTGGTAGTTTTATCAGATTCCTTTTTTATGTTTCTATTTTTATTTTATGTTCAGATTGGAATATTGGATGTTGCCTTTTCATTTCCCTGGAAACTGAAAATTATTGTTGTTGGAAATAAGACTAGTATATTCTGGTTGCTAATTCCTAGAATCTTGTCCCACTTTGCAGGAAAAGATTTTGTATAGCTGTTTGACTTTCTACCATACTTACCTAGAGTAGTCCTGTTTTGAAGAAGGATTTATAGTCATTAAAAATCAAAACTATTCTCAACTTTACGGTTTCAGAGCCCGGGCTTTAAATTCCAATGATAAACAGTCATGGAAACTGGAAAGGGAATCCCTGGTGTGACCACTAACCATGCCATGTTCAGAGGGTGAGCTGATATATTGAATATTGACTCATACATCCAGATATTACTTCATAGCAAGTAGCTGTCGGCTAATTTCTCAACAATCCAACTATGAGTCTTATGGAGGTCCTTAACTCGGTGCTTAGGCATCTTTAAAAAGGTCCCGGAAAGGGCTAATGTTTAACAAAACACTCGATTTGTAGTTGAAAATCTCCAAAATCTCCAATAGACAGAACCCCTATTGACTAAAGTCTGTTAAATCCATGCACTGTTCATTTATTTGTGGGAACTTTGTGTCATGGCCAAGTAAAAAGCAGAGTGGTCGCCAATGGCAGTCTGAGACTGAGTTCCGAACACTGGCTCAAGGCATGCGTGAAGGCATATGGCTGAAGTGCTGAACTGCTACTAGGTGAACTCAAGGTTGGTACATCTAATCCTATTGAACTTATGCATGAAAACCAATCAGAAATTGTGATTGCCAAGAATCCAATTCATCACAATAGGAGAAAAGAAAGTTGAGAAAATGGAAGACATTGTGATTTCTCTAAGTAATGTACACTCTTAGCATCAGTAGCAAGCAGTAAATACTCCAGCATAGGCCCTTTTTCAACCAAATTTTATTGAACCAAGCTCTAAACATGTACTAATGGTTTCATGAACATGTATTATCAAGTTGATAATATCAACAGCCCAATAGGGAGTGTAGGAAATCGAAGTATCATACAAGTTTATTAGAGATGCTAATTCATACATATAATTGTGATATTCATTCTAGGGGTCAAATTCCTATAAAGCTATAATGTATTTCGATTTCCTAGGTAAAGTATTGCATAAACCTGTTTACGATTTTGTACAATTGTTATACAAGAACTAGAGCAGTCATATTCTATAAGAGTTCATTTTGTATATGCTTTTCTTTCTTCCCCTATATATACATATATAGAGAGAGCTCTTCCTGTCCGGCCACCTCAATTTGAGGTGGTCCCCGATGGTATTCTTGGCTCCTCAATTTGAGGTGGTCCCCGATGGTATTTTTGGCTCAAATGTTTTGTGTATGTTCCTCATCAAGTCTAGTTCATCCATACCAAATTTGAGAATAAAATTCAACCGGGAAGGTCGTCAAATGATTTCTTGCGTGTGCGTGTGCGCGTGCGCGTGCGGGTGCGTGTGCGTGTGCGGGTGCGTGTGCGGGTGCGTGCGCGCGGTGTGTGTGCGCGTGCATGTGCGCGTTTGCACTTTTTAGCATCACCATTTCATGCAAATTCTCCCAATTTCTCAGCTTCAACTGTCAATAAAAGGACGAACAAGCTGCCAATGTTTCGAGCTTATCCTATGCACAAACATTTTTACGGCAGCAAAATATAAGTTTTCTGAACGACATGTCGACATCCAAAATTCCAAACAAGAATTCTGGTCAGAACTAGCATTCCGCATGGTTGACAGGTGTACCACAAGTCCACAAGGAAAGCATCAAGCGCCAATGTTTTAAATTTATCCTTGTTTGACTGCACTTAGTATTTAGTCAAACCAAGTTATGACGGAACATTAACAAAAGGGGTAAATACCTCCTTCAGCATTGACCTTGTAGGAATCCATCGCCCAAGTTGTAAATCATACATTTCAACGTCAGAAAAGCAATCGCATCCATTTCCACCACCAATGGCGAAGATCTTATCATTCAATGCAGCACCAGCGAGACTGCCCTTTTCCTTGTTCAAAGAAGGGTGTACATTCCACATGTTCATAGCTGGGTCATATGATTCCACTACACAAAATAGTCATATTACAAATGAGCCCTATACAAATCTAAAAATAGGAGGCCATATCAATTGCATGATATGCAAAAATGATGCAGCATTTAGGAAAGGGGTAATGAATGAGATTACTGGCAATACCTGTGTCATACCACTCACAACCAGTTCCTCCACCAAACACATAAAAAACTTTATTAAGCTTTGCAATTGCAGCATAACAACGATCATAGTTCATGGGCTGCAAAGACCTTTTTACATCATCTGAAGGAGAATATAAATCTAACGATGATAACACTGCTTCACCATCATATCCCCCAACTAGATATATTGATTCCTCGGGATCTAAGTTGTGCTCAACAGCTGGCAAACTGATTGTCTCATTAGCTTGTAGCATCAAAGGATCAGAGACCAACTCCAACTTCATACATCTACTTTTTAGGTCCTGAATCTCTCGTTCTGCTTCAGCCTGAAATTCGAGGCAAGGGAATGAAAACAACAAAAAATTAAAAAAATTGAAAATCATTGGTATATAAAGAGCAGGTGTAGCTCATATATCAACACAAGTTCACTTGAAGTAGTTAGAACTTAGAAGACATAACTGAAGTGTAGAGCATGTAATGTGAATAACAAAAAGCAGAAAGTGAAACTTAACAGCTTATATTGATTGCTAGAAGCAGTCAAGCAGATAATCTAAATTTCAAATAAAACATAGACTTCTGGTACCAATGCATTATGCATGTCATAGTAAATGGAAAATACATTTGAGATCAATTCAGTGAATAATGATAAGAAAGAAGTACCAGTTTCTGCTCCAAACAATCCATCTTCTGCTTTTGTGTATCTTTAAAAGTAACGAGTTCTTGCATTCCTTGAATTAACTGAAATCAACACAAGTTGAGCACATTCAATAATTATAGCAATCTGTTTAGGCTATTCTCACTCGGTTCAGGGAAATTATTCTTACTAGTAATTAGTATTATTAGTATTTAGTTACAAGAACCCTAGTTATAAAAGGACATATAAAGGTAAACTGGTAAAGGCTAATAACAAATTAAGAAGCTGACTAAGACCGAATTAGGAAATAACAACAATAATAATAGGAAACTAATACTAATATCACTAAATACTAACATTACTGATTACTAACAAGGATCTAATAATAATATAGAATGATATCACTAACCCTACAAAATGAGTGAATTCAAATATAAACACGAACCTGCGCGATGACTGAAGGATAAGTAGTTGAGTCAGATGAGCTTCCACCATTTTTCTCAATCACATATTCAAAATGGTCGTTACGCTTTAGAGAAGTCTCATGCCCCAGATACTCATTAAACGAGTGACCTAACAGAGTTGTACTTTCAGCTGCATGTCCTGTCGCAGGGGCATCTGAGGACACACTAGTGATGGCCAATTCCTTTAGTTTCAAGTACATCCGGTCCTTTTCACCTAGATGTTCTGCAGTGTCTTCAGGTACATTCTCTTTCTTGTTTTCACCATTCAGGCAAAGATACTCTTCAGTTACAAACGCTCCACTAGCCTCACAAGATTCGGTAAAACCTTTTTCTGCATCTGGTACCTTAAAACTTTGAGCTTCTTTCATGCCATTAGATGGTAAGCTGTGGATTTTTTTCATCCGATCAGTTTTATTCCGTAGATTGAGGTTGAAGCTACCAGAAGCAATTGGTTGAGAAGATAGCTTGGTCATCAATTTGCTAGTTTGAGAATGATCAAGTTCAAACCAGAAGTGATGATTGGTATAATAGTTGTCAAGAATTATAGGCTTAAACTGATCTTCTGACAGTGGATGACATTGAATCCGGACACGTATTTGAACCTTAAGAAAGAGATACAGAATAGTGTAGTTTATATACAGTGGTACAAACACCAATATTTTTTACCCTAAAATAGAATGCGACAACAGAAGAACTACAAGGAAAAGAGTAAAAAAGTAAAGGGGGGTTCTGATGAGGTACTTGTGCGGGAAATTGAGTTCTCTCAGACCCATTTGATGTCCATGCATATGGATTAATGTACATTTTGGCAGTGCTTGCAGCCTCAAATATGCCATAGAGTTTTCTATCGCTGTAGTTAAACAAGAATAAAGGAAGACCTGCTACAATATTCTTTACGTATGCAAAGTGAGGAAATGGCAATCCTGTCAACATTTAGAAGTAAGATTATAAGAACAAGCAATTGTTGGGGTAACGGGGGAAGTCAAGTGCTAGTTTTAAAAAACTACAATATATAACAACACATTGTCAATGGATGATTGGGGATATCATCCATACTAGGGCTGGGCACGGGCCGGGTCGGGGCGGGTAATACAAAATAAAATGGAACCGCCGGTTCCATTGTACGGTTCGGTCCGGTCCGGGTATTACAATTTTCAAAATAGGAACCGGAAATTACCCGGCCCGTTTGAAACGGGTCGGTCCGGTCCGGGTTTTACGGTTTCTATTCTCATGTTTGAAATTAGTAAAAACTCACGAAGTTCCAAAAATCAATAATCAATAATATAAGACATTAGCAAGTTTCAAAATAACAACATAGTGGTGCATACATAACACAAGTGAAAAGTCCAATACTCCATATTTTCTTGTATATAAGTTTCAAACAATTAAAGAAATTCCAAAAATATACAACATAGCCAAAATACATATTTTCTAACATTTGTATTTAAACATGTTGTCTAACATCACATATTTAAGTGATTGCTTTTTTATATATTAAATTTTTAGTATTAGCCAAAGTTGACACATACATGATGGGTGGTAAACACAATTTATATGTTTTAATAACAATATAACAAAAAAATATAACAAAATCGTCTTTAACAAATAATTAAATTCGATAGAAAGGAATAATTCAATAACAATAAAAAGTAAAAAGATATTTATGAAACATTTAATCAATAATTTGAAAACAAAAGGATGTTACTGCAACTCAATTTAAAATCCTACTTCTAGCACAGGAAACAAAACTATTTCAAAACCGATTATCAAAAAACTATTAATAAATTAATATACAATATATATAACGGGCCGGGCCGGGTACCCGTTATTTTTTAATTTTGGAACCGGTCCGGTTCCTTAAAAAAAATTACCCGACCCTACCCGGACCGTTTTATGGAAACAAAAAATGGAACCGGCCCGTTTTGGACCCGAACCGCCATTACCCGGACCGGACCGCGGTTCCAAGACCCGTTTGCCCACCCCTAATCCATACATAGTAGTCAATGGCAAGATATGGCGCACACCATATGCGCCATCGCCATGAAAAAATGGTCATCGCCATAGCGCCATGTGCATATATGCACCATCGCCATGTGCCATGGCAAATACCATTGAGCCATGGCGATCGTCATGCGCCATGACAACTATGCTTCCATAATAAAATAAGGCCGACAGAAAACCAAGAGCTCGTAGAAATTATAGACTTGAAACTAACCAAATAGTTGCCTGTGAAGACATTCTTCGATGGTATCATTCTTGCAGCCAAATATAACACCACCAAGTTGACCTTTCCTTAAATTCCTGAAATTTGAAGCACCAAATTGCTGATTTGGGGGCGATCGTGGAAGGTCATGGGCTGTTGATGTTTCTGTTCTCCACTCTGTTCCCATCCTGCAAACCAAATGGATAAACTATTATCATCATCTCATCTTACCAGAATAATTCATAAAATTTATCATGATACATGGACTAAAGCATAACTACTAACCAAACCACAAGTACTATTAAGATTTCTCTGGAAGAAGCAAAAAAAGTATGGAAAAAGATTGAAAAAATTATTATTCAGATGATTACAAAATTTTGATTTAAAGCTTGAACTAATTGACAAAGCATATTGTGGGTGTGGTGAGACTCATTATAAGCCACATACGAACAGTACATAACTTGATATGAATTGCATTCTACTAATATATTTTATGGTTATATGTTCCTTTCCTGTTCAAACTCAACCCAACATTAAGCTCAATCACGTTGAAAGGAACTCCTGCAAAATTAGGAACTGACAATGCAGAGGTGTGTACACCTTGTATATCCTCTATTCGTGTTTCCTTTCAATTCCTAAGCATGTAAGCACTTCACAAGTCAAGCTAAACTAATTTCAAGAAACCCCTTGGCCAGTTATATTTCGATAGTCTAGTCAAGGCAGTCAACAGTTCCCCATCTTCTCCACCAGCTTCCAATACTGTAAAAACATGCCATTCCCACCACTTCAACTGAATGAGTCTTCTCTAGGCTGTCTACTTACAAATTTCATACGATTGGTGCTGATATGCACGGAGCAGCCAGGTAGTGTCTTTCAAGTTTCAATCATATCGTTACACAAAGCAGAAGCGTCAGTTTAGGGGAAAATTAGACATTAAAGATGAATAATCATAGAACCACCTTTACTATTACGCAGAGCTTTTCGCCTCATCTAAACTCATTAAACCCGGATGAATCACCCAAAACCCCATAATTTCAGGGCAATAAGTAGCGAAAGAAGGTTGATAATGTGCGGTGTTTTCTAGTAAAAGCTCAAAGAATGTGCGAATCATGAAAGAGAGAAACGTACCTAGCATTGAGGGGAAGCTTCCCGTTGCTAATGGAAGTGAAGTGAGGAGCGAAGCGGTTGAGGGAGCCAGGAGGAATGTGCGCGTGCATAAAAAGAGCGCACGGCAGGGAAGTAATACTCCCACAACTTTTTCCAATCCGTACGGGACGTGTCATTACGGGCTCATTTATACGGACTACTAAATTACAGGTCCGATAGAGGGTTGTTTGCAGCAAGCAACAAAAGTGATTCTCAGATTTTATAAAAAACTACCAACTTTTACTTTCTCGGCGGCTTCCGCATAGAATCTACTTTTTATTTTTTCTATTTCACAAAAAACCCTTATTTTACCGAACACTACCAACTTTCACTACTAATCACTTTTTTCTAAAAATTGCTTTTATTTAAATACAAGTGGTTGCAAACAAAGCCATAAAAGTGCACATTCATTTCCCATGTAGCAAAAGAGGATATGGAACTGCCTATTTAAAAGAAAAAAATTACATTGCAAATTTCACGTGATGTACATAAAAAGAATATAATCGAATCATGCCCATCTATTGTTTTATATAGTAAAACTGAGTTATAAAACAATGATGTGGCACTTTCTTATTGGTTAACAAAAACTCTATTTTTTTACTATTTTATTAGTATTTAATAAGTATAAGAACACGTTTAATTAATTTGCACTATGGGTGCGGCAGAATTTTCGGAATCTGGGTGACTAGGTCTAAAGACGTTTTTTTTTGAACGAAACTGGCTTAATATATCATACCAAAACAGACCAAACAGACCAAACTAATCCAGGTAACCGTGTGACGACAAGTCCCCTGTCTACCGTCCGCCCAAGGACCAGACTCTGAATTAATCACCTCCGTAGAAGCCATATAATTCGCTGATCCCGCTTTGGGCATACCTGAGCCTATGACTAGGTCTAAAGACTTGAACGGCTGTTTTTTTAATCTAATCCATATCCATATCTATCTATAGATAATATGGAAAGATACAATTATGGAAAGTTTTGCCACATGTCATTCTCTAAGCAATTCTTTTGAAAAAATATGTTTTATAACTTAGAACTTAGAAGCAATTAAAAGTGTATCTGTACATTGCATAAGTAGTAAAAGTGCTTCGAATTTCAATTTACTAGATTGCGCTCCCTCAGTCTCAAGGATAGCATTTATTTGCTGGTTGATTTTAAATTATGCAATTAACATCATAAATTTACATTTTTGAAAGAAATGATACATGACCATGGTGCTAAAATAGCACTTTATATAAAGTTTGGGGTATTTAAATTACATATGCAAGTTTGGGGTGCTAATCTCACACCCCTCCATAGTTTGGGGTATTTTAATTATTTTTCTCAATTGGATAATATAGAGTGAGAAAATCTTTGGATAATTAGTTAAAAAATAGGGCATGTATGCTCAATAAGTAAGAATATTCATTATCAACCAATGTTATAACCAACTAAACAAGAGACTTTCTGTTAGTTCTGATAAATCATAAATATGTCAGCGCGCGCGCACACATATACAGTAAACCTAAAGCAATTTGTTTTATCCTGTGCACGGCACGGGTAAAAATACTAGTATGTCCATGTGTTTGAGTCACGAGACTCTCTCTTGGTCGGGACTCGGGACCGAATGAGTTTTCTTTCATGGTCTCTTGCTTCGTCTTATTTAAGACTCAATTTCATGATCTTTTTTCTAGTTCATGAAAGTTTAAATTATTTTAATTGAGATCAGTATCAATTGAAATGGTTGTTTCTCATCCGAAAGTGCATCCCTAGGCTCAACAACAATATGAATTGCAATTGAATCGTTCACTTCAATCACATAAAATTATTACTACCTTTGTCCCATTTATATTGTCCCGGAAGAGGGTGACACGATTATTAAGAAAAGTAGGTTTGTGTGGTTGATATTAATTGATAAAGTAAGAATAAAATAAGAATGATTTAGAGTCACACAAACTTTGCCAAATATGGTATGAGACAATTTAAGTGAGACTTCTCGAAAAGATAAAATGGGACAATATAAATGGGACGGAGGGAGTAGCATTTACTATGTTCAACATATCCAATAAATATTTAATATCCATGGTGTGCTAATTTATCGATTATGGAACCGACTGCAATGATTTCATTTAAGTTGATCATACAAATGTTAAATCTGATGAAATTGTTTCATGTTTAATCGGGGCACAAATCTTTAAACCGACTTCATATTTCCTAACAAATCCATTTCATTATATTAAAAACAAAGTCAAAGCTAATACACCAATAAACAAATCCAAATTAATTGGGGAAGAATGAAAAGGTCAAAGTCCTAAGGCGAAAAGTGAACTTTAAGAGCTAAGTGAATTTTAGCTTTTGCATACTACTCAAATGTTAGAGTTTTTAAGTTCCTCCACTCCTCAAGAACTTGGAAATTAAAGTCTTCTGCATTATTTCTACAAGTTTTTTCACATAATTTGATATAACATTTATATATAATACGTAGTATTAACTTTTATATGAGTGTTGAGGTTGAAGAAACTTCAGCTTGGATTTGGTTCTAAATTTTTGAGGCCGTAAATTACCCGAACATATTGCATTCGGGTCAAGAATTTCTCTAGACCATCAAATTAAAGATTAAAACCAAACCAACGAAAAGTTCGAGTTAGGCCGATCAATTTTGAGTTTCAAGCGGAGTATCCCACCTATATTACACATGTGTGTTCATTAATTGAGGTATGTCTCGGTCTCAGATTTGGCATCTTCAAGCTTCGGGGTATATCAAGCTCAATATGGATGCCGCAAGAGATCATGCGTGCAGCAATTTGGGATGGGTTATTCGGAAGAAAAATGCTAGAGGTACACGTTTTGTGTACACGTTTGGTGTACACTTGTCTGTCCTTCATAGATAAATTGTCTGTCACAAACAATTTGTCTGTGAAGGACAGACAAGTGTACACCAAACGTGTATACAAAACGTGTACCTCTAGCATTTCTCTATTCGAAATGATTTTGATGATTTTGTTGTAGCCTCACTTAAAGACCCAAATTGAGACTACGTGGGAGTTGAATATGATTCCTTACCTGCTACTACCTCCAAGTCCCATTTATATCGTTTCTTTACGTTTTACGATATTTGATCGACGATAAAACAAACAGATCTCTGTCTGCACTCAAATTATTTTTAGGATTTTTTTTACATATTCAGAAACTACATTTAAAGCTTTACAAAGTCGCAAAACCATGAATCAAATTTGATAATTTTTTTTATATATAAAGTAAAAATTAAGAGTGATTTGTGTTGACCAAGTAAATAGGAACTGGGACAATATAAATGAGACGGAGGGAGTATAACCGAAATCGGTAACGGATCGAGTATCTCAACTGTGGGTATTTTAGCAAAGGATAATTGATGCGAATTAGAATCGGTATTAGGCTTGGAAATTATGTGTGTTATTCCTTAATCAATTACAATGATATATACATGTTAATGGCCGAAAAATACAAACCCTCAGCCCAATAAACTAGGCTAAAATACAATAAAGAATATACAAGCCTAAATATGGTGTTTAACACACACACCCCAAGTTGGAGTATGTGGATTAAAGATGCCCAACTTTACGGAATTATTTATAGTTTTTATTTTTTATTTCTGTAGATTTAAAAATTTTATTATTTTACATGTAATTTTACTGCACTACCGATCATAATCATTTTATTTTTTTAATGCATTCATTCAGTGCCATGTAAAACATATTTATTGCCATATTCAGTGCCAAACTCAACAATACATATGATGATATTCACTGTCCATATTCAATGCAAATATTTAATGTCCACAAACCCCAATTTTAAAAACTCCAAATTTCAAAATTAGAAAAGAGAATGGATAGATCCAAAGCACACCCATCTTCACGTAACACCAACGCCCCCCCACTCATTCCGAAGCATGTGCTCATGAAGCAGCAGCCCACAAAACTGTACAGAGGGATACAGAGTCGCACAAAGCATGAGTCCCCATTCTGCGCCTCTATAGAGGAGCGTTTCTCGAGATTGAGCGCCCCGTTACGCTGGGTTTTTTGGTGATGTCAAAGCAACGACCCTTGTGGCTGATTTCTAGATCGGATTGGAGATTATATTGGCAGATTGGCATCGCAGGTTTACATGTGGGCGACGTTATTCACAATAGATCGGAAGTCAGACGGGAATCATACGGATTGGACTATTTACCTTCACATTGTTGGTCGGACGCACAGGACGGGCGATTGTGCACCCAGGCGATCGATCGATCTTCGGAAGGCGGAAACTGTGCTCCCAGGCCAGAGATATGTGGTGGCGGCTGCGCTGGACGGTGGCCGGCTACCAGGCGGTGGGCGGAGAATCGACTGCTGCGGCTGCTTGGGTGGGCTGCGGAGGTTATGCACGAGCGGAGGGTTGGAGAATATGGGTAGAAGATTAGGGCTTTATAGGTATAATCTAGAGGGTATATTTGTCCACAAAAAATTATTTATTATTTAATTATTTCGAATTTAATTAAATATTTCATTTTTTAATATTCCGTATTATTTTAAGAAAAAAACTGTTTAGGTCATAGATTGGGAAACTCATGGAGTTTTATTTATAACTAGGGTAATTATCTCTAATAATAATATTATACGAAGTACAACATATCATAATTATTGAATTAGTCCTACGTAAAGCTAACAAATTCAAGGACATGACGGCCACCAACATGAGTAGCGTGCGGCATTACCACCATAATCATCGCCAACTTCTTCTTCTCGTTCTCTCCCGGCCCGTCCGCCGGAAAGAAATTGCTGCCGCCATAGCAAGAGTTGCGGCCATGGTGCCGCCACTCTTCACAACCCCGCCTGGAACGCCGGAGAATAGCAAATCCCTGAGATACTTTGTGCAAGCTTAATATTGCCGGGAAGAGGATTCCTTACTCATTATCGTCAAGGCATCAACCGTCATCGTCGCCGGACTACCTACCGGCTACCCAGGCCATTATTGGATCAAGAGAAACAAGAGATAGAAAGGATCCATGCGCATGTCCTCCTATCCTACCAAGTATTGGTGAGGAGGATGGACTAACTCAAAACACTAGCTCAGTTTCAATCTCTCAAAAATTTGAGGTGAGGTTTAAAAAGTTTCCGCTTAATATGCATACGATTTGATTAGTTGGATTGTTTTAACATCTAAATAATTATTTACATAAATTACGTATTTTAATTACAAAGGTTATTTGTGATATTT